AAACAAATAATAAGACAAAAAGTTACACCATGGGGTACACTTACAAACATGGGGTAAACCAAATAAATTTCTGGCTAAGTGTCTTTTTGGTAGTACAAAACGTCAGGTTAATTTCAATATTGTAACTTTTTTAGTGCTTGTGAAAAAAATTGTTATACAAATTTTATGTATCCTCTTTAAGGGGCTGTATCTCAACAAGGGATGCTCCAATGAAATTTCTTTATAGTAGTAGTATATATTTGGTGCTAATACAAAGTTTACACAGGTCATAACAGATATTGCTTATCTATAAATACAAAACATAAAATATTCAGATGACTTGAATGGTTAAATGGACAATTACTATAGATATACATACATTTGTGCAAATAAAACAAACTAACTATGAAATAGAAATATAAAACAAGTTAAAATATATATATGATTAAGTGGTATTACATGTCTCGAAAACCATCACTAAAATATTCATCTAAGGAATAAAAAGCTTTTTTAATTAAAAAATTTTTGATTGTGTATTTGAACTCCTTCAAAGGTAGATTTTTGATATTTTGGGGATGCGAATTATACATTTTTGGAGCATAATAATTTACGCCAGTTCTGGTTCTGTTGACTCTATGGTTCTGGAGATACAGATTTGAATTATTTCGAGTGTTATAACTGTGGATTGCATCATGTGTAGTATAACCTCTTATATGTTTTTTAACATGTAGCAGGCATTGCAATATATATAATGATGGTAGTGTAAGTATTTTATTATTTATGAAGCTACTTCTACAGTCTTGCCTGTAAGAAAGGTTATCAAGAATCCTGATTGCTCTTCTCTGGATGCCAAATAAATCTGATGCATTGGGCACATGGCCCCAGTACGCAAGTACTGAATACGATATGTGAGATTGAATAATCCTATGGAAAGCTGTTTTTAGAACTGGTTTTGATACCGCTTTTTGTAAGTTCCTCAGGAGATAAGTATTTTTGGATATTTTGACTATAAGTCTATCAATATTTACATTCCAAGTCAATTTGGGTCAATGTATACACCTAGAAACCTAACATATTCAGGGTTACTGATATCTGGCACTTCGCGCAACGAAAAAATGACTGTTTGGCTCTTATCTTGATTAAGTTTAAGATTATTTACGGCAAACCACTCACTGACATTTGTCAGAGTATCCTCGAATGTAGTACGCAAAGTATCAATATTATTTCCAGAAATTGATACAGTTGTATCATCAGCAAACAGCACGAAGTTAGCACTTGTGTCACTAAATCTTATATCATTGAAGTAAATCAAGAAAAGGATCGGTCCCAATATCGACCCCTGGGGAACTCCATACTCAATAGGAAGTAAGCTAGTAAATTTGCCATTCAAGAAAACAGCTTGCTGTCTGTCGTCCAGATAGGACTTCATCAGTTTAAGACTGCCTGTAGATAATTTATAATATTGAAGTTTTGAGAGCAAAACTTTAGGGCAAACACAATCGAACGCCTTACTTAAGTCACAAAAAAATGACATTGTGAATCCGCCGGATTCAAAACTATCAGTTATGAAAGATCCTATCTTTTTTTCGATGAGGAATCACCTCCTTAAATGTTTTACACTTATTCAGTTGCACCCTGTATAACATGTACTAAAGTATTTATCTTGAAAAACTAGTTTTTATAAAACTCTGTATAATAACTTTTTTATCTGTAATAATAATAATTTTATTTTTAAGGAAGTAAGCAGGATGACAGTGCAAAATCAGGATTTTACCAACTTTCAAACTTCAAATAAGTCCGAAGATGTATTTGATGAAATCATATCGCCCAAAAAAAACCTAGAAAAGCTACACATTGATAATAGTGTTTCTGATGATTCTTCTGTGTTTTCTAAAGATTTGAGCATATCTGATTCCGCAAGCGTAATATCTGAGGCAAATTCAACAAAAATTGAAGATGCTGACGAAGTTAATGAAAATGAAATTAATGAAGAAAAATATATTGAAGATTTTTTCGAAAAAAATGAATCCTTAGGGACTGTTGATACTACCTTTCAGACCGAAGAATTTAAAAATCAGAAAAATTCATTGAAATCCCTGGAGAGTTCTTCAAATGCGGAATATTTGTCGAATTTTTCTAGCAGTTTTTCTGGAATCGATTTTTCAGATCTGGAGCAGAAGGTGATTGAGAAGTCACCATTTAAAATGACTGGTACAAACAAAGTTTTCGATATACCCAATCAGTTTTTCAACAAAAACGAAGTATCTCAGCTGTTGTCTCCATCTTCTGTTGAATTGAGCGTATCACGATCTTCAAGTTTTACTGTTCCTGACAAAATTAATATATCAGTTCAGGAATTGCAATCAGATCAAAGTCTTTTTGATGAGAGTTTTCGTCTAGAACTGAGTGGAAATGATTGTGAATCTCCTAAAGGCATACATTTCAACAAATCAAATGAGAAGATAGAGAATTCCAGTTCCGTTGAAACTGCTAGCTTTCTAGAGAAAGCATTTACAGGTTCATTCGAAATTACGAAACATAATGAAAGTGATTGTGATATATTTGCTGAATTGCCAAACATAAATAGTTCTGGTGAAGAAAATAATGACAATATCCAACCTGGAACTCCTGATGAAATTTTAAATTTTGTTGAACCTCAAAAGTCTGCTAATTCAAGAAAACGTTTTGGTAAGAATGAGAAGACGGAAATACCAAAGAAAAAACTGAAATTTGATATTTCAAAGAGAGAAGCCATTAATGAATCTTATATTAATAATAAATCTATCGTGAATTACAGCAATATGGAAATAGTTGACGTTTGTAAAGACTTGTCATTGCTAAATTTATTTTGCAGAGAAATCAAACAACAAACTTGTGTTTCATTGTCTGTCGCTTGTGTAAAAATAATGGAAAACCAAAAAACTATTGGTGAAAATGTTATGAAATCTGATGTTGAAGAATCTCCGATATACTTTTCGTTTGAGGAAAGAAAAATACTAGGATTTTGTTTCGCTTGGAAATACAATGTTGGTTATTTTATCAGTTTAGACAATCCTAACTACCATCAACAAATTATGAAAATGATGAAAACTATTGTCGAAAATGAGAACCTGAAAGTGAGATTATTTGATGCCAAAGAACAAATCAAGGTTCTCACAAATTGTTGCAACATAAATTTCAAGTCTAGAATTGATGACCCTAAAATTGCTGATTGGATATTAGATCCTGAGGGAAAAGAAAAGAATTTTAAAGCAATGGTGAGTAAAGAATGACTTCTTATTTTGTCCCACAAATAATTTTTTGATATGAAACTTTTTTTTTAAATTTTCAATAGTGATGAATACTCAATAAATCATCAGGTTAAAAAAATATGTTTTTCCGTTAACCAGCTGTTCCTCCCTATGAAAAATTCTCAAAAGTCGAAACTTGTGTAAGCTGAGGACTAACGAGGTCTTACCTAACAACGTGTGATACTATAACATCGATTTTTTGTTAATAATGAATCTGAATAGACCCATATTAGACCAGTCAAAGTCGACACACAAAATCGCTAAATTAGAAAAACATGATGTATCTCTGATTTTTTAGTATGTTGTTAGGATTAATTACGGCAACGTATACGCAAGTTTGCAGCTCTCAAAAAGTTGTGGAAAAATTTTGACACACCAAAAACCGCGAAATTTTTGGGCTTGTTTCAGATTCTGCTGTATATCTCCTAATCCATCCATTTTTCGACAAAAACTATTATATATGGTTTTTAAGAGCATTAAATTTGTGACATTAAGCTCAACCGGAGCTCTGTAGGTCAATCAATTGGCGAATTACGGTACTTTGAAAATAGGCCAGTTGTTCAAAAACTGTCAGTTTTATATCTTCTTTGGACTGAGATTGCGTCGAAATCATTGATCTTACGAGTAGAGCTTGTAGAATATAATTTGTAGGCAATTTAATTAGCTTTAAATTTAGATCAGAGCGGGTTCTGTAGGCCTCGTGGTTCTCTCAAAATCTAAAAAAAATACATATAAATTGAAATCGCATTTTTCCAGAAATGAACCAAACTACTTTTTTGTTGCATGAACTGAGGTTTAAACATGCAAAACGTGTTATCATCAAATGGAAGGTATGAAAGTTGAATAGATTGTTATTAGTCACAGAGAACGTGTGCAGGCAAAAAATATTTCTGTAGTCGATGGAGCATACCTCTTCCATTAAGTCCTGTGGCATCGGAATGATTCGGTACGAGCTCTCACAGCAAGCTACGTAAGGTACATATTTAACCGCTTTAGGAAAAATGTGTGTGTATTCTTCGACAGGTTGCGTCCAATTCTCTACCAGCTCAATTCTCAACCAAGGGGTAGAGGAGCTACCACCTGGATTTGAACTTTTTATTCACGCATTTAGTGGGTGCGACCCACATCTACCCTTTTCTGGCAGGGGAAAATGAAAATGTGGGGCCACATCAAGTCCTAGTGAACCAAGCAAGAGTTTTCCTCCAGACGGGTACCACACACCAACAAGTCGCAGCAGCCGGTGACAAGTGCCTAGTTTTCCTATATGGAGGAGACGAAACGACAGACACCATCAACGATGTACGCTACCGTTCTTTTGTGAAGACAACAGCCAACGCCAAAGCGAATCTGGCCCTTTGCCCCAACCATAGAGGCTGCGTCATATCACCACTACCGCACATATCACCAGGTGCAAAAGTGGTTGGGGGGGTGGAGAAAGAGGTCACCGACTGGGGTTGGGAATTCACCTCGGCTGGACTCATCCCCATTACCAGCCGACAACCCTCGCAGAGTTCTTAAAACTCCTCTTTTGCAAATGCAAGAAGGGTGCAGAGTTGGCTGCGCTTGCCTGAAAGCAGAGCTCAAATGTTCTGTGATGTGTGCTACCTGCTCAGAGGAAACGGGCCAGAACGCTGCCGTTATTATCATTGAAGAATACGACGATGACGAGCCTCAAGACAACCATGACGATCTACCAATACTGTACCTGTACTCTATCTATAGGAGACGAAGACGACGACCCACCAATAGTGGAAGATCTACCTATTGAATAGAGCAATATAAGTGACGGCCCAGGGCAGTCAAAAACATTGCGACGAGTTTGACTGAATTATTGATCAAGTTACTTACTTTTGATTACTTATGTTTATATTAAAATACACTTATTTAAAATCGTACATTAATATTGACATTATTGTAACCAAGACATCTACCGAAAATGGTTGTATACCATTTCTGGAAAAATGCGATTTTATTCTGTATGGTTTTTTAAAAGATTTTGAAATAACCACGAAGCCATAAGACCGCGCTCTGAGCTCAATTTGAAGCTAATTAAATTGCCTACAAGTTATTATTTTACAAGCTCTACTCGTAAGTTCAATGTTTTCGACGCAATCTCAGTCCAAAGAAGATGTAAAACAAAATGTTTTTATTTTTGGAACAGCCTATTTTCAAAGTGCCGTAATTCGCCAATTAATTGACATACAGAGCTCCGGTTGGGCTTAATCTGTCACAAATTTAATGCTCTTAAAAACCGTATATGATAGTTTTTGTCAAAAAATTGATGGATTAGGAGATATAGAGTAGAATCTGAAACAAGTCCAAAAATTTCGCGGTTTTTGGTGTTTAAAAATTTTTCCACAACTCTTTGAGAATTGCAAACTTGCGTATACGTTGCCCTAGAATATCCTAACAACATACTAAAAAATAGAGATACATCATGTTTTTCCAATTTATGTCGATTTTGACTGGCCTATATTGTGGTTCCTCAGGAGTTTATTCTAAAAAGCTACAAAAGGCTATCGGTTTCATTGAAATGATCCATTGAGTAATTGAGAATTCCTATGGTATTTTTTTCATTTAATATGCTATTGCCATAAAAAACAAAGTATGAGGGGATGCTCTACTATGTCGAAAAGGAAATTACCATAAAACTATCAAAGGTAGATTTATCAAGATCTTCAATTTTATTATGAATTACACATGACACAAAACTTTGTTGAAAATTTCACACCTGTAATTTTGAACCAATCAAAATACGTTATTTTGATAAATCACCATGGCAAAGGAGGTATTTTAGTGGAATTTTTTTCTCTTAGGATACCCAACAGCGAATTATACTGGAAAGTTTTTGACGTTCACAATAACAGACCTTTTTTGACAGATTGGTTCACATAATATTTATTTGATATATTTTAATTACAAAGCTAAGATGTTTTCTTTATTCTTCAGGCACCTGCTCTCTTCTTAATAGTGTAAATGCAGTACTTTGAATGTTTCCAATTAAGTATCTATGTCTAATAGAATATATATACAGGGTGCTAATTAAGTATGTACCATAAATTCAACAGACGATTATTTAGGTGGTTTTAAGACAAAATTTTCATGTAAACATGAGTCCGCAAATCCTTCGTTCTCAAGATACAGGGTGTTGAAATAAAAATAATAAAAGGTTATTCGTAAATATCTTTAATATCCTTTACCTAATTTTGTTGTAATTTGGCAATGGTATTTATAACATTAAGGAGCTAGTTTAGCCCGAACGTGATTCAATTTAATTAAGTCCAGTGGCGTCTCGAGCGGGATTTGAACAAATATTTTTTACTTAAAAATGTACGCCACTGACTTTTGTGCAATTTTTATTATTTCTTTGGATTAAGCAATTAGAAATACAACTTTGTATTTCTTCTTCAATTTTTTTCGTATCTTGCTTAGTTTTTGAGAAAAAAAAGTCGACCTCTGGACCTCACAAGGAATAATATGGGGAATTGAATGTTTCTTTTGGAAATTTTTATTTTGGCAATTTTTCATTACTAATTATGTAACAATAACAACAAATGTTATAACGTTAACATCTAGACTAACGAATTGCATTAAATTAAGTGTTGGAAATGGCCTCCTTCGGTTTCAATACAACCGTCTAGCCGCCGCATAATAATTTCCAAAAGAAACATTTAATTCCCCATATTATTCCTTGTGAGGTACAGGGATATGCAATTAGGTCGACTTTTCTTTACTTTTGGTTTTACTAGCTGTGCAATATTCTTTATTGCAACAAAACACGAGTTTTTTTTATGATTTTGAACTGTCAAAATACAATGAACACAGCCTCCTATGATTGATGCTTGCTGACGCTGGTTGTGAATTCCTTACCATTAAAGCGCGCATAACCCACATTAATAAAAACGCAAAAAAAAACAATTTTCTACCACTTGTAGTTACTCAAAACTTATGTAAAATTATACTGTTTTCTATCATGAAATGGTATTCCCATGCAACTATAATGAGTAGAAATTACCAGTTTGAAGGCCTGAATAATTGCTGCTACAATTCGGGGTGGAATTTTCTTACCAAATACCACGGCGAGGTCAAATTAATATCCGGAAATTGTTTCTCGCTCATGAATATTTTTAGAAGATTTCCCTTGTCTGCGACTCGTGAAAAATTCAAAATATTCATAAGCTCCAAAAAATTTCAGGAAATAAATGGTATTTCTAGTGAAAATTTCATGTGTGTACCCAGTACCAAGTATTCTGTTTAGTGAAAATACCATATTGATTATATTTCTAAGGAGTGCAGGACCTTATTACAGAAAATGTTTGAAAGTATAAAGTACTTTTTTGGGAAAGAAAGTTTTTGGCTTTCTACTACTCCATCTGATTCAAAAAAATGGATGAGAGAATCTTCCAAAGAAAGGAAGGATTAATCAATTTGAAAATAAGTAACTCTATACATGGATGTGTAGATCATGTCTTAAGGCGAAACACGTGTATACCAGTTAGGGTGACAGTGTTCCATGTGAGTACAATTTATTACCATTCATTCAAAGTAGAACTCATGTGAATGATATCTGATTCTTATTCCTCCACAAATGTTCGATATACAAACTGAATAGAGAAAAATATCTTCTGTATAATTCAGTGTTCATATAGAAGTATTTGTTTCGAAAGAATTTTTTTTTTTTCGTGTAATTCAATGTTTATATGAAAGTAGCTGTTTCAGGAGGACTTTCTTTCAGTTTGTGTCTGAAAGTTACTTCTTTGCATGATCTACACATCCATGTATAGAGTTACTTATTTTCAAATTGATTAATCCTTCCTTTCTTTGGAAGATTCTCTCATCCATTTTTTTGTATCAGATGGAGTAGTAGAAAGCCAAAAACTTTCTTTCCCATAAAATTAATCACTCCTAAAAATATAACCCTTTCAAATCATATAAAGTACTATAAGTTAGAAGGTTGGAAAAATACATTGATTGATTATGTTAGATATAATGGAGCAAGGAATATCATTGAGGGGTGAATAGTTCTGGAATCTAAATAGAAATTCATTTCATATCTGGTGTCATGGCAAGAAATGTAGAAAGGGATTTTCAATTAGAGATATGGAGAATTGATGTTAAAAACTAGCTAAAAACAATATAATAATACTTTATGCAGTACAACAAAATAATATCAAGATTTACTTGAGAATACATAATACAAATGTGAATAAAATAAAAAATTCAATAGTAATTAATACAGAGAATTGAATAGATTTAAGCCGTTCCTTTGTGGGTATGCTAGTATAAAAACTATTTATTTTATTTTTAAAGATACTGAAATTAGGGCTATGTGTTATTTCCTTGGGAAGAGAATTATAAGTTTTCATGCGTAGTGTAATGGGATTATTTAAGCCCATTTAAGGTTATAATAGTATATTATGCAACGATCATGTAATGATGGTTATTAAGACACGAGCATTAACCGGGATACGAAACGAGCCGAAGGCGAGTTTTGTATGGTATATGCGAGTGTATTGATAACCATTACATGAGAGTTGCATACGCTATTTTTTCTAAACCCGATAAATAATGAAAAACTATAAATATTATATTTGTATTGAACACATTTACAGTAATTAACTCATATTTAAAAAAAAAAAAACACAAACTTAATGATATTATCATGGATATATGAAAACTATAAAGATTCTAATTATATTTATATTGAATATAACAACTGTAATTAATCTGATATTTTAAAAATATTGGAGTCGATGGTATTCCTTCTATATCGCTGTTTTCATACATTTTGATAATATGGGTAGGTAATATGAAACCTGATTTTGACAAATAAAGCAATTAGTTACTTAGGTTAGATTGTAGGACAAACAAAGGAACAGGATTCTTGATTGAAAAATTATGGGTTTCTATTGGTTGATAATCTGTATCGTTATGAAAAATCTGTATCATAATGGATATCATTATGAAACGGATTATGGTCATATAAGTGTATTGTTAGAGTACGAGTGTAGAAAAAAAGACATTATAATGGGTATGAGTATTGTATTTATGGAGCTGATTAACGAAAGTGAAGTTGGTATTACATTTTACTTGTTCATGTATAACCTTGTATGCAAATTTACCTTGCTCGATTTCTAGAACATCCTGAATAAGCAGTATCTTGGTTACACTGTATGTACAGTGTAAAAGCCAAATGGAATATGTTTCTGTATAAATTCTGTCTTTCCATTAACCAGCTGTCACACCCCTACGAATGATAACCCTCAGAAGTCGAAACTTGTGTGAGCTAAGAATTGACGAGGATTGAATACATTCATTATTTCGATTACTGTACATATTTAAAAAAAATCCCGAAACTCGTCAAATGTAAATTAATATTTGACATTCTTCAACGCGAAAATGTCACCCCTACCTTCAACTCCCTTCGAATGATAGGTTCAACCCCCAATTTTTTAAATGGCATCCATGTATAGCTAACATGGATGCCTGTCTACTTGATGTATGTGGGTTATCCTCAAACTCAAACATCACATCTAATTTGAGTTCATCATTCATTGCAGTGGCATCTGCTTTTTTTATCTGCCCCACATGACCATGCTCGCAAAAGAGCTTCTCTATTTTGCTTATTGTTCCTTGGGATATGGGCGGTAAATTAGGAAATTTCTCATTAAATCGTTGTGTTTATCTCAGTAACCAATCATCTGTAAAACTGTTATTTTATTCATTTCCGTTAATTTAACCATTTGTCAGATTTGCGGTTAACGAACTTTAAACTTGAATTTAAATACTGACAACTAATGTTGTAACATATAAAATAAGTTGACAGGGTGTTTTAAACAAACGTTACCACGAAAATTATTCAATTTTTTTAAAGGATACCATCTATAAAGAACATTGCTATGGTTTTTGCTTACTCTCTTATTATCAATATCTCAATATGAAATAAGTTTTGTGTATACTTCGATAAGTTTTGAGTGTATTTTATCGAATTTCGGTAACCACATGATTTTAATTTAATTTATCTTAATTGTTGCAGTAAACTTGAAAGCGATAACATTTTTGAAGAGGATAAAAATACCTTCAAAACGATATTTCACAAGCCTCTACTTCCCATTTAAAAATTGGGGGTTGTACCTGTTATTCGACAGTGGTTGAAGGTAGGGGTAGCGTTTTTCCGTTGAAGTATGTCAAATTATAATTTCAATTTGATGTGTTTCGGGATTATTCTTAAATGTGTACAGTAACCGAAATATTATTCAGTTGATGTTGGAGTAGCGCAAGGTTCAATTCTGGGACCATTGCTTTTCTTACTATTTCTCAATGACCTCCCAATTAATGTCGATAGGCGCTTTTATCTAATCAATTTTGCTGATGACACAACATTTGGTATAACTGAGTCATCTATGGAGGATATGATTTTATCGGTTGAATTCTGTATTAGTGAAATGACAATATTGTCATTCCAATAAACTGATGCTAAATGCACAGAAAAAAAAATTATATATTTCAATAAGAACAATTTGATCGATAGTAAAGTCCTACAGACACATAACTCCACTAAGTTTCTGGGTGTAATGATTGATAAATCACTCTCATGGTCTGAGCATATTGAATGTCTTTTCAATCTGGAGAGTTCCCATCGTTCCTGAAGACTTCTCTCATAATCCCCCTCCATAAGGGTGGACCTACTGATGATCCTTCCAATTTCAGGACTATAGCACTTATTCCTGCTCTTGCAAAAATCATAGAAAACCTGGTCAAAATAAGAATGTTATCGTTTTGTAATGCCAATAACATTCTTACTCCTCACCAATTCGGATTCCAAGAAAATAAGGGTACTAATGGTGCAATGTTCTCCCTTCTAGAAACAGTTTATTCCCATTTTAATGCCAATGAATCGCTGGCTGCAATTTTCTGCGACCTATCGAAAGCATTCGACTGTGTCAACCACGAGATACTTCTGAATAAATTGCAGAAGTATGGTTTCCGAGGCATCACCCTTCAGTGGTTCCACTCTTATTTATCGGGACGCTAACAAATAGTCAAAACATCTAAATACTCTGCTGAACAGTCCATTAAATGTGGAGTGCCGCAAGGCTCGATCCTTGGCCCAATTCTATTTCTCATCTATATAAATGACTTAGCTTTCATAGATGTATCAGCCACCATCACCCTCTTTGCTGACGACACCACCTTATTATGCCACAACACAGATAACGCCATTCTGCATGAGATCATCTCGGAAGACATAAAAAAAATTAAAGAATGGTGTGACTGTAATAAATTAACTTTCAACATCAAAAAAACCAGGATCCTTACTATTCGCTGCACTTTACCTGAGATCTGCCTTGGTAACGAAATCTTAGAAAGTATACATGCTTATAAATTTCTTGGGCTGAATATAGATGATAATTGAAGTTCAAAGACCATACAGTAAACCTAAGCAAAAAGCTTGGCTCAGGCTGCTACGCGCTTAGAGTCATCTCGACTGAATTAGGCTATGCCCATTCAAGAACAGCCTATTTTGCTCTTATAGATTCACATATTAGATACGGAATCGCCTTCTGGGGAGTGTGTTCCAGAGACTTATTTCATACGATCTTTGTCCTTCAAAAAAGAGCTGGCAGTTACATGTGCAAGGCTGCTTCCTGGGTTTACTTGCAAACCTCTTTTCAAAGCTCACAGTATTTTAACTGTACCCTCCCTATACATTTTGGAAACAATCTTTTTAATAAAGAAACACCATTTGTCTAGGGTGAATCACACTCCTCCTCACAGCACCCGAAGTCACATCAGGAATATTGAACTGCCCACTCCCACGAACTCACTAGTTAGGGACTCGATTAATTTCAATGGAATCAAACTGTTCAATCATCTGCCAGCTAAAATAAAAGAAATCAATGCTTACATTAAATTCAGAAAAGAGGTCAAAAGGCTCCTGTTTGATGGGGTCTATTACTCAGTTCTGGAGTATTTTGATGATTTTTTTGTCTCCTGATTCACTCGACAACCAATATTTTCTCGCTTAGCATATTATTTTATTATTTTTTATATATTCTACATTATTTATATATTTCTTCTTGTATTGTTGTTTGTATTTTCAGACTTAGTCTATAAGATGTATTTTCTTCAGACAATAAAGTATATTTGATTGATTGATAAATCTCAAAACTGTTTACCAAACTATGTCATTTTCAGGTTATGAAATATTGTCCTGAAGGTATTGAACTGTCACGATTGTCAGGAGGATGCAAAGGTGTGGGTAGCATTGGACTGGATTTGTACAGTGCAGTGGACCCTAGAACAAGATCCGCTGTAGAAGCCATTATGACATGGCATCTTGTTGACTCCCTGAAAAATACATTAAAACAAGAAAATCCAGATTATTTTAAAGCATATGGTTGGAGTATAAAGAAATTAATTCATTTTATAATTTTGAAAATTTTTAGATGTGGAGTGTGATACAATTTTATGTTTAACAAATATGGAATTAGGGGGTATATGTGTTAGCAAAAAGTTATTGCAGGAACTTGTGGATAACTTGAAAAAACAAATGACTGCTATTGAGAATAAAGCATTTTCCCTGGCTGGAAGACATTTCAATTTCGTATCTTCAAAGGATGTGGCAAAAGTTATAGGTGAGCAGAATAAATTCTAGTTATTTCCCGGAATATATTTAATTGTTTGACAATTTATTTTTTATCGAAAGTGTTGCAATATATTTCATATTTCAGAGTACTGCTCAGAACTCAAATTATACATAATATGCATATATAGGACTCCTTCATCGGACATAAATTTGTTCTTAAAACACTTGGAATCATTCCTGTCGCAACTACCAAATAGTTCATCGGTTATTCTCGCTGGCGACCTTAACATCAATTTTGATGACTCCAGCTCCACAAGTACCTTACTATTAACCAATCTCCTTACATCTTTCAATTTATCCATGCATGTAAACTGTCACACTCGTATCTCTCAATACTCTGCTTCATTAATAGACTACATTTGCAGTAATTTAGATTTAACTGCTTTAATTCATTGCTCGGTTAACCCATCTGGGCTATCAGTTCATGAAGCTATAGTCTTTTCCTCCAAATTCCCCTCCAAAACTGCCAGTAAATGTGAGAAAAGGAGTCGTTTATTCAGCAAGCTGAACTATTATAGGTTTTATCAACGTTGTGAGCAAACAAACTGGGCTTCCTTCTTAGACAATTCTCACCCTTTTGAGGCATTCTACAATGGGTTATTAGAAAATTTTAATAAATCATTTCCTCTACAAAAAATCAAAATAAAAAATAGAAAACTCTGGTTGACTAAAGGTATTGAAATCTCTGCCAAGAACCTAAGATCATTACATTATATAAGAAAATTTATAGATCCTAACCAAACTTCATTTATCAATTACTATAATAAATATAGGTCAATTTACAGAGTTACTTTGAAGCATGCTAAGCTGATCTACTGCAAACATAGACTAAAAATAGCAGGAAATAAATCTAAGGAAAGCTGGTCCATTATCAACGATCTCAGAGGAAAGTCCAATAAACATTCATCCGAAGTAGGCTTGGATCCCAATTTATTAAATAACTTCTATTGCACCATAGCGGACAAACTCACCGAAAATATATCATCAACTGTTAATCCCTTAAATTTTCTTTCCAATATTGACATATCAGAAAGTTTCTCCCTCTATGAAACAAATCCCGAGGAAATAATAGCAGTTATCAAAAATATCAAAAACAAGAATAGCAAAGGTATAGACGATATTTCTGTTAAAATTTTTGAAAATCTACCTTATTCAACCTTAGTGGTTTTATCACAACTCATAAATCAGTCTTTTGAATCTGGCGAGTTCCCATCGTTTCTGAAGACATCTCTGATAATCCCTTTGTATAAGGGTAGACCCAATGATGACCCTTACAACTTCCGGCCTATAGCACTTATTCCTACTCTTGCTAAACTCATAGAAAAACTAGTGAAAAGCAGAATTTTATGGTTTTGCAATGATAATAATATCCTTACTTCTCGTCAATTTAGATTCCAAGCAAATATGGGTACTAATGATGCTATGTTCTCTCTGTTAGAAACGATATACTCCGAATATAACGCTAAAGAAGCAGTCGCTGCTATTTTCTGTGATCTATCGAAAGCTTTCGACTGTGTCAACCATGAGATCCTTCTTAATAAGTTGCAACAGTATGGCTTCAGAGGCAACACTCTCCACTGGTTTCATTCGTACTTATCAGGTCGCAAACAGGTAGTTAAAACAACCGAGTGTTCCTCTGCTCAAACTATTAAATGTGGCGTACCACAAGGATCGATCCTTGGCCCAATTTTGTTTCTTATCTACATAAATGACGTAGCTTTTATAGATATAACGGCCACAATTACTCTCTTTGCTGATGACACCACTTTATTATGGCACAACAAGGACATTCCTACCCTTCAAGATGCTATGTCAGCTGACATCAACAAAATCAAAGAATGGTGCGACTGCATTAAGTTATCATTTAATATCAATAAAACTAGCATACTTACTTTCCACTGCAACTTACCTGAGATCTGCCTTGGTGACAAAATCTTAGACAGGGTACATAATTATAAATTTCTAGGGTTGAACATTGATGATGAACTGAAATTTAAAAATCACACAATAAACTTAAGCAAGAAGCTTGCCTCAGGTTGCTATGAACTAAGAGTGATTTCTAGAGAACTAGGCTACTCCCATTCAAGAACAGCGTATTTTGCTCTAATAGATCCCCATATTAAATATGGAATTGCCTTCTGGGGAGTCTGTTCTAGAGATTTGTTTCAAATGATTTTTGTGCTCCAAAAAAGGGCTGTCCGATATATGTGCAAAGCAGCTCCCAGGGATCCATGCAAGCCTCTTTTCATAGCTCACGGTATTTTAACAGTAGCTGCCCTGTTTATCTTGGAATCAATTTGCTTGATAAAAAAAAATATTTTTGTGCATCTCCCCCTTCCTCATATAATACTAGTAGCCACAATAGTAACGTAGATCTGCCTATTCCTGCGAGCTCCCTTGTTAGGGATTCAATTATATTCAACGGGATCAAACTGTTTAACCATTTACCAGCCCGAATTAAAGAAATTATAGTGCTTAACAAATTCAAAAAAGCAGTTAACATGCTACTTGTTGATAGGGCCTATTTCAGTTCAGGAGTATCTTGACGATTCACTTGAATCTTAACTTTTATTTCTATGTCTTGTTATTTCCAGCTGAATATCTCAGTGTATTTCACTTTTTTAGCTTATGTTATTGTATTTTATTAAATTGTGTATGTTTTTTTTATGTAGATTTTTGTATCTTACATATTATTTATGACTTTGTCTATAAGATGTAGTTCTTCAGACAAAGTATATTTGATTGATTGATTGATTTATAAGAAATTTTATTACTAAGATATTTGTATTTCGCAGTATCGAGACTTGTGCGAGCTAAAAATTAACGATGCCTTACCTTTTTACCTAGCACGGTAAAAATGTATATGAATTTCAATAGTTCGGACTTCCATTGTCTGATATTATATAAAATGATTTGAAATTCCTGAAAGAGCTAATAAAAAATTGATAGCTGAAAATAACAATTATATTAAGCAAAAAAACCTGACATGAAATAAAATACAAGTAAAAATAGAACAATTGAACAAAAATAAAATGTTAAGAGATTCCAAGCCAAGTAACTCCACAACGTTTCGACTGTTAATGTCCACAATCGTCTTCGGGTGATGACTGGCTAATTCCTCCGAGAGATGACTACTTATAGGTCATTCGAGTACTTTCATTTATCTTCCCTTTCCTTTTTCCGGTTCACCGGTTTAGTGGGAGATGACCGTTTGGCGGAAGTTGGTCATTTTTTGCTTGATTATGGGTTTCCATATGTTACGTATCTCTACGCTAGCTTGGCTGAATAAATTGTTGGACAACATGTATGCGGCTTCTTTGAATTTCCTCCTGAACCAATGTTCCTCCCTATGTTTGATCTCAGCCGGTAAATGCAATTCTTGTAACCGCAGTTCGCGTTTGGTGGCCTGGTTTTCGTGAAGCTACTACAGATAGTGTTTCCGGATCTGAAGCAGGTTCTGATGTATTTGGATCTAATTCTTCTCATCCTTTCCGATAATTCTCTGATGTAGGGAAGTGCAAGCACTGGTTGTGACGGCTTCTCTTCCTTGTGAGGCTCCTATTGTCTTTTAGCTAAAGTCTGTTCCACTATCGCTTTGGAGGAGCCATTTCATTGAAGATCATTTTTTATGATGTCTAGTTCCTTCTCGATGCCTTTCTTCGTATTACAGAACCCGAAAGCACGGTCTATTGTCTTGATGATTTTTCGGTATACAGATGTTTCCTACTTAGTGTCCGACCTCTTCACCAATCCAAGAACGTCCACAACGAATGTATGAATAATTTGGGTTAAATTGTGTCAGTTTAGGTAGTCTTGATTAGCTTTACAATTAAAATTAATTAAGTTTTTAATTTTCCAATATCCCTAGCCTGAACGCAATTATCTCACAAATCAGATAAATAATAATCTGCTTAAAAAAATCTATTTAAAATCTGTTTTTCCCATTAATCAGCTGTAAGACCATTATAATGTGACTAAATACTTACATTTAAATTGTCTTCACATACACAAAGAGCTTTACTGTTATGTGATATATCATTTTTATTCCTTCTGCATGCATTTAACCATTTTGTTCGACGATTACGATCATCGTCAGGTACTCTTATAAATATTTTATTGGGTGATTTAATGGAAGTAGTTGCGTAATATTGTTTGAGTTCTATTGCCTTTGATATTGAAAGTCCTTGTTAGATGTATAAATTCAACAACACACAAAGCTGAATCAAGGTTGAACATAAATCACGAAACTATTCAACTTAATAATACCAATCCACCAAAAAAACAGGACCTCATCACACTTTACACAAAAGAGTTTCGCTGCAGCTGCTTAAATAAGTAGATTTAAACAGCAGTCTCAGCATGCGTCATATGCGTGCGCCCGGATCAATACAGTATGACGTCATGGCAGTTCACGCCTTTAAACGCTTGGTTTTTCAACGCAAGAAACTTTTTATATTTTTTATAAAGTTACTATTGATATTTCACTACTCATATTTTGCAGTAGTTAATAGTTATCACAGCAGAACACATTTACGATGTAAAAAATTCTGCAAGTTCCCTATTAAGACGCAGGTTCCTAGCAGAGGTATATATGGTATAAATAAGGACAACATTTGTTTGAAGGTGATTGACAATGTTTCATGATGAATTTCACTAGTTCGGGCTTCCACTGTCTAATATACAGCGTGACTCATGGTTGATGGTAGGTTAGACGTTTCTGGAAAACGCAAAGCATGATTTTTTTGAAAATTTCACCTCTCACATTTCCTTGCCTGTTCTATCGATCTAAAATATTTTCAGCATTGCGGCGTTGCCACTTCCATCAAAAAGTCCTAGCAACTTTCTTTTTTTAAATGGAACACCCCGTATATTAATACATTTTTGGAATCGATCTGGTATTTTAATACTTTTTTGTTATCCATATCATACAGGGCGTGCTAAAATTACTATTATTTCCATTGTGCATAAAAGTAGTCAAAAGTTCACTTTTTCAAATGAAACCCCCTGTATATTACTCGGTAAATTGAAAGATGGTGAAAAATGCTTCAAGGTGATATATCATGTCCCTATACCTAAATTGTCAAGTTTTCTCAATAAAGTCACTTCTTCAAAAACATTTTTTTTTTTTAGAATTTGGATTTAGGTAGCAATGGAATTATCAAGCTTATAGCAGTTCGGTTACTTTTATAAGTAATTAGAAGAATTATCTTCCAAAATAAATGCAAATGTCGATTATTCAAACGAAGTTCTTATGAAATTATTTATTATACACATGAACAAAGTGACCAAATCATTGTCAGAACGTGTAAAAAATTCAACCAAATGTATCCTGAATTAACACCAATGAACGAGAGGAAGTTTGTAAGGTTACTACATACGCCAACGTGAGTTGGCGTATGTAGTTGTAACATATGCCTTGTAATCCAAAGATCGTGTGTTCAAATCCAATGGACCCTATAATTTTTTTTATTATCAGCAGTAACGTTATACAAAAAAAATTGTATGATACATTTGTTAAAAGTGATTTTATTTTGCTCGTGAGTTTGCTCCACTTGCTGACGCTCGTTTCGCAATAATCCCCACTCACAAAATAAAATGCCACTTTCAACACTTGTAGGTAAAACGTGAATAACTATTTTTCCACAAAAACGGCTTTATTAAGAAAACTTGGCGATTTAGGTATAGGGACATGTATATCATCTTGAAGCATTTTTCACCATCTTTCAATTTACCGAGTAATATACAGGGGGTTTCATTTGAAAAAATGAACTTTCGACTACTTTTATGCACATTGGAATTAATAGTAATTTTAGGACGCCATGTATGATATGGAGTCGATTTCTTGGTGTTATTTGAATCTTTCGAGTTTGTCCAAACTATTATCAAAATATCAACTTTTCATGAATTGAGAGTACTGATGTACTTAATTTCAATTAAGTCTATGTTTTGTACCATATTTAGCACACTTTATTTTTTATCTCGAAAATAGATAAAGATAGGTATAGGACATTATTAACAAAAAAGTATTAAAATACTAGAGCGCTCCCAAAAATGTATTGATATACGGGGTGTTCCATTTAAAAAAATATAATTGCTAGGACTTTTTGATAGAAGTGGCAACGCCGCAATGCTGAAAATATTTTGGATTTATAGAGCAGGTAAGGAAATGTGAGAGGTGAAATTTTCAGAAAAATCATGCTTTGCGTTTTCCAGAAACGTCTAACCTACCATCGACTGTGAGTCACGCTGTATAAAATGATTTGAAATCCCCGAAACAACTAAAAAAGGAAGAATTAAAAATGAATAGCTGAAATAGCAATTAGCAATTATAATAAGCAAAAATAACCTGAAATAAAATAATAGTGAAATAAAATACAAGTGAAAACAGAACGATTGTACAAAAATTAAAGAAATAAAAATGAAAATTAAAAGTTTAGAGATTCCAAGCCACGTTAGTTCACGACGTTTCGATTGTTAGTATCTATAATCGTCTTCCGGTCATCACCCGAATGGAAGTTCGAACTAGTGAAATTCAAGGACAACATTGTATGTATATTAAGTTTAATCTTCCTCTTGAAGATGATCACTTGGTGATCGAAACACATGTCGAATATTACTGGAATAAAATTCCAGTAATATTACTGGAATAAAATTCCAGTAATATTCGATGAGTATCCATGTTTTTGTCATCGATATTTCTTGTTCTTTATTTGTAATTTGGTAAGGTGCTAGATAATGAGTAAATTTTTTTTTCGACTGCAGTTTAATGCAATATATTATTCATTTTCTGTGTTGTCTAATATATAAGGCATATAGTCTTGATTTTAAATGACTTGCTACAAATGTACGTGATAGGAATCGCACGTTAATAGGTAAGGCCTCGTTAATCCATAGCTTGCCTAAGTTTCTATATTTGAGGGTTGTTGTTCGTAGGGGGGGGGGGGCAGCTGGTTAAAGTAAATAAATAGAAACATGTTAGAGTATGTAATGTAGTAAATACACTTTACTTAGTTTTTGTTTTCATATAATGTTGCCTTTATTCACATTTTCAGGAATTTTCAGAGGGAAAAAAATTAGTACAAAGAAGCAGATTTTAGAAAAAAATGAACATCCTATTTCTGATATGATTGTGAAGTGGCGAAAAATAAATACAACTCTAACAAAGATGATTTATCCACTGATAAGAGTTACCAAAAATAATCGTATTCGCGGATGCTATATTACTCATACCTCCACTGGACGAATAACAATGCAAGAGCCAAACTTGCAAAACATAGCAAAAGATTTCATAATAGAAAATCCTTTCACAAAACAAAATGTTAATATCAGTTGTCGCAGTGCTTTCCAAGTATTAGAAGATCATCAGCTATTGTCTGCAGATTACTGTCAACTGGAACTGAGAATCCTAGCACATTTTTCAAAAGATGATTTGTTATGTACTGTAATGAATAAACCTGGTGATGTCTTCAAATCCATCGCCGCCAAGTGGAATCGAGTTGAAGAGGATAAGGTAAAAGTGTTTTTGTTAAATCGAAATAGAAACTATATTCTCACAATACCACGGTGCGAAAAAAAAAACATCTTAATGAGAAATTACACCTATCTGGCTCCTCGGTGCTACAATATGTTATCTAATGAACTGAAATTGATAAATTCTATATATTCATTCCGCAAGCAATTGATTGTCGGGATAAACGACCAACCACAGCAAAAAAAATCGCCAGTCCATTGACCTGAACAATTTTTATTACTAAATAAACTGTTCCTTTGACTGTGAAAGTGTACTCAAAAAGCTAATGAATAAAAACCTCATATTTTTTTATTAATTTTGTATTAATGTATTAATGTTATATGGTGAATTGTCTTTATATATGTCAGTATAAATAGCGTGGGTATGTGGGTGTGACTGTGTAACTGTGTATATGAAAAAAATGCTACTTCAAAGGACTTGTTACACCATTCAAGAATTCACCAATCAACTAACCTGAGATCTTGAGCTTTAACACATTTGGTTAAAGTGTTTACTTTCAATACTTGAGAAATTGTGTGTTGATTATATTTTATTGGCTTTTTTATAGTCTTTAACTGGTTACATTTATATTTTTATATTTATATGTTACTTTTATTACTTATGGATGTTTATCACTGTTTGTGTTATTGTATTGTTTATATTATTTTGACTGACTTATAATATGGTTACATATTATTTGGACAGACTTTTATAAAACGGTTATATGTAGTTATTTACTTTTATAATTGACACTTTCTTTGTTTATTGTGCATTGATTTCTGTCAACTGTACTTTTCAACCAAAGAAATTATTATTATTATTATTATGCATCAATTTGTTAATATGTTATACCTATTAAATTATTCTTACCCGCCCCTCATACAGGGGAAACCCTCGTGGAGTTCAACCATATTTATTTCTTTGTCTAAATACCATTGGTAAATTTTATTTATATGACCGGTTTCGGGTTGGACCCCATTATCTAGTATGAAACACAGTTAATGAAAAGTTCTGATTTATAATTGTGCTAAATATAATCGACTTCCACATAGATATAGATCCTTTTCAAACCGGAAATTTCCTATTGAAGTGAAAAAGATACTAATTGATCTGTGTCCCTACTCCCTAGAAGATTATTATGAATTAGTTTTTTAAAGAACAACCTGTAAACATGTATTATTTCACTATCCTATGTTAATTATATTTTGTCTGCAATCCTTGTTATGCATGTACATAATTTATTTTATTTTATCATTTTACTCACTGTACTTTGTTGTATGTCTATATGTTTTTTGACTTGTCCTATAGCTGTATTTGCTCGAATGGATAAATAAAGAATTGAATTTCCATTAATTGGGCCTAGTTGTAATACACTTTTTTTTCCATAAATATCAGTTTCATTATTCTACTGAAAATATCTGAAAAACAGTTGTATACTATATTTACATCTGTACTCTGTGTTACACTTGAGAAATAAAACTGGTTTTTCTAAAAAAAAGCTATGTTCTATGTCATGGAGACAATATACTACATCACTTCAAGCTATACAAGTGTTTATATGATATTATTATTCCATTGATTATATTCAATTTCATCTAAAGATCCATGATACTATACGACATCTAGCTTTCAAACGTTTCAACTTGAATGCCTTCCATTCGAAGTTTAATTACTGTTGAAAATTAATTATAATAAATTCAGTAAATACTTCTATGTAATACTCGTACCTATGTTTAGGTTTCAGATGCTATGAGACAGAATACGAAGAGTTTGTGCTATGGAATCATTTATGGTATGGGGAGTAAAACATTAGCGGATCAGCTTGACTTGCAAGAAGAAGAAGAAGCTATAGAATTCATGGAAACCTTCAAGTGTACATACCCAGGCGTCCAAAAATTTATCAAAGACGCAATTCAGAAATGCAGAACACTTGGTTATATTGAAACTATAACTGGCAGAAGGAGGTACTTGCCCAATATCAATGATTGCAGCCTTACGAAGAGAGGTTTGTCATAAAATTTTGATAACTCTTTATAACACTAGGCAACAAACGTCAATACTTTAATTCGAGCTTTTATTCAACTTGCTGTTTCTATGTTATGAAAAATGAGAAATTAAATTTCCTATGTTTTTTACCACTTGTATTTGTAATACTGCAGTTTTGTCCTACAATGTTTCGTGATACATTTCATCAGTTCGGACTTCCATTGTCTAATTGATATAAATTGATTTGAAATCCCTGAAAGAATCTGTGAAGAAATTAAAAAGGTTAGCTAAAAAAACAATTTTGTCAAGCAAAAAACTGAAATTACAATGAAATAACATACAAGCAACAACCAAAAAAATTGAACTATTAACCCGAAGACGATTGTGGATATTGACAATCGAAACTTCGTGAAGTAACTTGGTTTGGAATCTTTTAATTTTATAGTTATAATTTTCATTTCTTGTTGATAATTTTTTCAGCTCGTGTATATGTCGCAGCCAACTGGTTAAAATAGCCGTTCAATCAAACTGCTCTTTCACTGAACAACGCCATTCAATCACACGGCTATACTATAACAATTTTCAATTGAAGGTGCAAATTACGGATATGCAGTTGTTTAGTACCTCGTCCACTAGATGGGGTGACATTTTGTGATGTTCGCTCCAACTTCGGAATATCATTGTGGAATATCATTAACTTTCGGTCGATGATGGTCACTATCTTGCACTGATGAGTGGCTAATAAGCCCGAAACCGGTCTGCAAGTGAGCCCGTTCCACAATTGAAGGTCGACTCTTTCAGTTGTATTGCCAATTGCATATGCAGGAAATTTTCTGTGAACATTCCTGCACTGACGCCTGTCGGATATAATCCAACGCCTTTCGTGGTATTAGCCAGGGGAGTAGTTGTTTTCTGATAGGCGTCAGTCCAGTAAACCTACTGTGTAGGTATATAGAGACTGGCTTGAACGTTTGAAGTTCATTTGCTTTAGATTTGAAGGTGATTCATTAGCAACGTCACACTTGAAGTGACCAACAGATAATCCTCTTACCAACTCTGCAGAGGCGTACCAAAATAATATTTTTATTTATTTTAACACATAGGTAATTAGGTAAAAATTGTTATAGTTGGTGGCGCTACCTGGTATCAATGGTAAAACTGATTACATGTTCTTATTATGCCTAATACAGTACTTCAAAAAACAGAAAAATTTACAAAATAATTATCACTTTCCTTTTATATAGAAAGAGAACTACAAAGCAAGGAAATAATTACCTATGTTATGCTTATGAAGTTTCAGAATCCATTGACTCGTCCGAAGAGGAATCCCCAGTCACACTTAAATCTATTATTATTTGGTCGAAAACAGTGTCTACCATCTCGTTCAATCTCCACATTTTCTCTTCTTCCTTGATCACATGGGCTACAGCATTAGCCTAATCTTCTTTCCGTATCCGTTCCTTTGCGAGTTCTAATAAACGTTGGACATCAGAAATTTTATGTGTCACGTTTTCACGAGCTACGTAACCCTTAATTTGAGCCCAGATTAATTCTATCAGGTTTAACTCGCAATGGTAAGGAGGAAGTCTCAAAATGGTGATGCCTTCAGCACGAGCTATTGTATCCACCACGTGCTGGCGATATCTGTCACGATGCTGTTTAATGATACTCATAAGCTCGGCCTTAACCATGTCTTCGGAAAATGAAATTCCTTTTTGTCCTAACCAACTCTGCATGTCTGCTTTTCTGGTGGTCATAGTTGGTAGCTGTTCTACTAATCGGCTGTGATAAGAAGCGTTATCCATTACTATTACCGAATTTGGCTCGACTCGTGAAAGAAGGGATTCAAACCATCCTTCAAAGCGTTGGGCGTTCCCTCTTTTTTTTAATAAAAAAATTAGTGCAGTATTGTCTAAAAAGCCACTCTCACTACCTATATGGGCGACAATTAGTCGTTGCCCTTTACCCGTTAGTTCACATAACCCTGTTGATAAACCGTCCACAAATGCTTGACGATAACTAGTTATCCAGATCTTAGATACTGTGTGACCAGCATTCACCCACGTTTCGTCCAGATAATAAATCTTTTTGTGAGCAGAACGCATTTCTCTAATAAAACGAAGATATCTCCGTCGCCATGAGATGATATCTTTTCTTTCTATTAAGACAGTATTACGGGATCGTTTGGCATATATAAATTTCAAATCTTCTTTTATTATTTTTCTTCTCTTTGCTCATTTTTGGAATGAGATCATTATCCATTACCTTTGTCCTAATGGATTCGAGGGTTGGCGCTTTATTCTCAAAAAAGAAAGAATGAATGGAATAACGTACAACATTTTTCTGGTACTCGTCCAATTCAATTTTTTTTCTACCACGACAATGTAGGTACTTTTGGAGCTTGCACAATCCCAGTCACCTTTTTTTCACGTACAATGCGTCCAATTGTCGACACGGATATTTCCGGTATTTTTTAAATTTCGTACACTCTACAGACAATCTGTTTTTCTTCTAACGACATAAACTTCCACTTTCTTTGTACATTACTTAAACCTGCTATGGCATCCATCTTGATACTTTAAAAATTATAAAATTCAATGATATTATTCAGCTATTTGTCAGTTGTTTACTTACCTCAAAAACTATTTTAAAGTTGATATGTTTTGAAAAAAACTTTATTGTGAGTTTTCCACTAGAACAGATTGACAAATCCGCAACACGTGTTTCGCTGCACAGTAGTTTTTTCAAGTGTGTTCACTAACAAACTGAATTCTACATACATTGTGATTTATATATACTTTTTGAAATATTACTATCTACCTAGAAACTAATAATATTCTAGGAACTAATTAATGACAGTTATATCTGAGTTTAACGAACATTTATACCTGAGTTCAATGACTTGGTCAACTAATTGTCTCACAATAAAGTGTGAATGTGATGAAAATCTATGATAATGTATTTTAAAAAACAAGTATCGGCCAACTCTATCTTATATTTTGAAGTTAATAAATAAAAACAGTCTATTCAATAAATATAATAAAATATATTTAATAAATACAAAACAAAGTCACCTTCACAAGAAACAGAACACACTACGCCTATGCAGATAAGGACGCTTGATAATGAAGAAACCGAATGACTAGTTATGGCATTTTAAGGGCGCAAATATAATAGACCTGCGAAGTGTTGATCAGTTTACCGATGTTTCAAAGTATTTAACGAACTGGTTCACCTATTCGCTCGTATATCCTATCGATATGCAGAAGCTATCTTGTTACGGGGGGGGGCAACTTTTATGGAATCATTTTACTTTTCAATTATTTACAATGGCGATGCATAGACAATAAAAATACCCCGGTAAGAATTTAGTTCTAACATTTAACATTGTTGCCATTAGCTCTCAGTTCAATTTGTATATGAGTTACCTTCAATTGAAAATTATTATAGTATAGCCTTTTAATTGAATATTTGAGGCACTTATAACGTTCAACACACAGCTGATTCAAACGCCGCCGTCTAATTGAATTAGTTCAGCGCTCACCACCGCGGCGCTAGGTGAATAAATGCTTGTGTTTTTAAATAGTTTATCTTGAGAAAAAGAAGGCTGAAAAGTTGCCCTTTGAACTTTGAAGGGCCGTAACTTTGTAAATAAGGGAAAGCGCCGCTTTTCTCTTTTGGATTCGTAATTATTAATTTGCTAATTCATATTAAGAAGAGGAAATTACAAAAAGTTTTTTTATTCTTTCGAATTACATACTAAACTAATGGTCACCCTAGTTAATTTGCCATTCAACCAGTTGGCTAAGCGTCGTCTAGCTGTAGTGTTGTACGTTGCAGTCAACAAGTCGGCTAAACGACGTATAGCCGGGTGATTGAATGGCATTGTTCAGTCAAAGGGCTGTTTGATTGAACGGCTATTTTAACCAGTTGGCTGCGACATATACATAATGTATACATTCTAATGTATAAGTTTGAAAATGTCCTTAAAGGACGAAACTGCAGTAACGTTAGTTACAAATAAAAGTGGTAAAAAACATAGAAAGTTTCAATTCTCTTTTCTTCATTATGATTTCCTACCACGTAGTAACGGCTACATCCATCAATTTATTGAAAACTTTAGTGTATTCCTACATGATACTTTACTAGCCAAACATCTTGCCCATATTTTTTCATGCAATCTTACCAACTCTTTAGCGAATGATTCTCTGACTACAAGAACTTGGGACACGACTGATTAATATAGATTGGAATTGTACAAGTAGACTTACTACAAATAATGCATTTGAGGCCTTTATGAAGGAATTGACTTGGTGTCTTGACGTGTCTAGTACTGTAAATAGGTTTAATGTAAAACAAAAAGCAAAAAAAAGTTGGGTAACAAGAGAAGTTAAGAATGAAAGCAGTCAGCTAAAAGAATTGCACAAAAGAATGATAGATGGAGAAGTGAGTGACAAGATTTACAGAAGGGAAAAAAGAGAAATTCAAATAGATTAAAGAAGATAAAAACAGGATATTACGCTAATTTAATAGAAATATCTGAAAACTAACAGAAAGCTACATAGGATATTATAAATAGTTTCAGAGGGAAAACCAAAATTGACAATAAAAGGGAGATTTATCTTGAAGCAAATGGTATCCGGATCAATGATGGAACAGAAATTGCTAATAAATTTGCTTGCCACTTTGCCAGAGCAGCTCTGTTGAGACATGTAGGTCAGAACACTACCACATACAGTCTCGGAATTCAATGGAAACTCAATATTTTTTGAAGAAGTGCTAGAACCTGAACTAGTTTCAACAATGACCGAACTAAAAAATAAAATATTGAGTGGCCTATAAAAGTTCCAAAATATGCCATAATGGTTGATAAATTATGAAACATTCGCATTAGAGGGTTACTTCTTGAATGGATAAAAACTTTTATGGAAGATAGGAAAATGATAGTGACTGTGAATGATGCAGCATCTGATTCAAGGTCCACTACTTTTCTCTATTTACATAAATGACCTACAGAAGTTTTCGGAAATACTGCGGAGGGGGTGAAACCAACATTAATTTAGTTATGGATGACATGATTTCTTGGTGTGATTTTCAATAAATCCATATTTTATCTATTCCGCGCTATACTGCCGTTTCTTCTTTTTTGCTTTCGACATAATTTTGTCTTCAAAAATGCCGAAGTAAAAAATCGAGTATTAAAAACTTGCCAATGACACCACTCACAGTATTCACCACCGCACGTACAGCACTTTACCTAGCTATTCGCTATCTAATATCACTTCGTAATATCGTCGAATGACATTACTGGCTGGATGGCATGCGCGCTTTTATATGAGGCAGCGGGCGGGCCTAGTACTTTCGAGAATGGAGACATTGAAGCTTACCGCCATCTATTGTACAGTTTGAAAACTATCGAACAGGAAATAGTTACTTTCTAGTCCCCTAGATGGCGTTACACGAGGAAACGCGAGTTAAGCGTAAAGGAGTGGTGAAGTTTGTGTTGAAAGCAAAAAAACATTTTTAAATTAGTCATCGCCCCCCTAAACCGCTTCAACGCTCTTCAATCTTCTCTGTGCCCTTTACTGCCCCCTATAGGCCTCCGGCGCCCAAAAGGGGGCGTTATCGCCCACTATGAGAAAGACTAGTTTAGATGGTGTTAGGACTGTTTACTATTCACTGGCTTACTCTCATATGGGTCAAAATATATTGATGTGGGGTTCCTCTATAGGGGAAAAACATGTTTTTATTCTTCAGAAAAGATCTCTAATTTGGTCATTATTACGCCTTGGTCAAAGACGAAACGGACTGGTTTAAGTTTGACTATAGTCGTGTCACAAAGTGTTCTGGTGATGCATTGAATCTATTGGAGCCTCTGGAGACACTCTACATTTTGTTTTATAAGAGAGAGGACATTGGTAGATCAAAATCTTCAGATGATGTGGTGCTGCAGGTTTTTACGGGGTTTCCTGCAGCTGAAAAAGCAAATGCGCCACTGGAATCAATGAAGTCGCCCCGGAGCGCCAATTAATTTTTATTGTTGTTTTTATTTTTATCGTTTTAATAAATTTTTATTTACTAATAATTTAAACAGATATCAACTTATTTGAAACTACTCACTTCTCCCTATAGATGTTGATTTAGCAGAATTCACTTTATGATAGTTACAAATATTCATAAACAAACTTGAAAGATATATCATCAATAATGGTTCACTCAAATATTGTTAGAAACGAAAGGATGTGGGTAATTGACATGTATCTATTGAACATATGTAAACTTTTTCTTGTTTGAAAGTTCCCTATTCTTCATTATTTAACAAGATCATTGAAATGCCTAACAAATTGTTTTTTATACCTACATAATGACAGTTTATTTGAACCCCCTTTCCTTCAACTATTTCTGGATTTTCTGACCATTATAATGAATTATAATACAATCTCACTCCATTTTTTTCAGGGCAAGCTGAAAGACAAGCTGTAAATTCAATAGTTCAGGGGTCGGCAGCTGATATAGTGAAAAAAGCAATGGTAGAAGTAGAAAAGGAACTGCAGAGTATTTTTTACAAAACAAGAAGTAGACCTCGAATAGTACTCCATTTGCATGACGAACTCATTTACGAAGTTCCTACTAAATATATTGGAAAAGTGGCCAAGATTATAAAGAAAAATATGGAAAACTCCATGGTTCTCTCTGTTCCCCTTCCAGTCAAAATTAAAACAGGAAAATCCTGGGGATTTTTGTGTGAATATACCTTGTGATATTTTTTAACGTGTCTTAATTCCTGTAATTTAAACATCATAGAATTTGTAATGGATCTGATTATATAATATTTGTTGATTTCTACCTATCAGGTCATCATCATGTAATTTACTCTCAAATATTGTATTGAATTGAATTTTACTTCTGTACATATTTTATAATAAATATATTTTTTCTAATTGCTCCACGCATGTGCTTAATAGAAGATGAGTAATATTTATGATCAAATGAAGACAGAAATTCAACATTCTAATACAAGCTAGTATTTAAAATATATTCTCTGAATATTCGAATGAAATGCTTTCCAAATAATAAAATAGAGTATGAACATGAATATTTCTGGAGTTTTTTCTCAACACCAAATCATTATTTTTAACACCTTGACACGTGTTACGACCACCAAGTGATCATCTTCAAGAGGAAGTTTAAACTGGAAGAACTCCCCCCCATGCCCCCTCCCGGGTTGAGTGCCCTGAAGTAAAAACTTCGCCCCACAAAATAAATTTTGCAAGGAAAACTTAATGTATATTATTGTGGTGCTGGAGTGCCTTGCTGTTGAAGTGGACTGTGTTTGTATCGTTATTTCTGTACTCCTATCGCTACCACTCGAATCTGTGCTGGTTCTAGTATTGAAAATGCTGTTGCATATATTTAATGAATGTATATTTTTACGGAGTTACAAAAACCAACATTTCTAACTGTCGTTGTTTGACAATCTCTCTTCTGTCGTCATGACAGTTGTTATAAAACATGACAGGGGCGTATCATATAAGAAATCCAACACTTAAAATACTCCACCCTATCGACCCCCGCTCTCCGAGCAGTCCTCAACTTACTTCAGCAAGATTGACATCTGCCCTTTTTTGGTCGAAAGTCAACCTTTATGTGTTTATACTTTCTGATCGGTTAATTGTTTTATTGTGATCATTTCTAACTGAATTTTTGCATGGGGGCCCCCAAAAACTAACCGGCGATTATTGTTGTTAGCGTCGAGCATTGTGAATCTAAAGAAAAGTGAATCGTGGTTGCATTGTTCTGCGTTGAACCTACCTGAAAGAGAGTTTATATGATTAGTTTATGCTTACCTGAGTCGCCTAACGGCGACTCGTGGGGGTGGTCGTTGATTCTGTTTGGTCGGCTTTGGGTGTTTTTTCCATTTCTTGGAATCTGGGGTCATCCATATTTAACGCATCGTGTAGATCTCGTAGCGCTGGGTTGTTGTGCGATCTGATTCTATCGAACACGCTTTCTTCGTGTTCTCTCATATGTACGTCCACATATTGCGTGTCCAGGTCTAGGTCTCTGTATATATATCTGTTTGGAATGTAATATGGTGCGTTTACGGTGGCCCTTACGCTCGCGTTCTTAAACGTTTGTATCTTCTTTCTGTATGTCTGTGCGCACTGGCCCCAGGCAGTGCAGGCATACAGTATTATGGGCATGAGAACGGATTGATCAGCAGCAACTTCACTTTCAACCCCATGTTGCTTCTGCGTCCTATAATAGGTGCCAGGCGTTGTCTGGCGTGTCTAGCCATTCCGATTCTCTGCCGTACATGAGACTTGAATGTTAATTTCCTGTCTAAGATGACCCCCAGGTATGTCCCTTTGTTGGTCCACGGAATATCATGTCCGTTGAAGGCGACTCCAAAACCGGTGCGCAGCCTCATGAAAACACCCCTCAAGTTTGACAGATGTTCGTCAAAACTTTTTCCAATGACTATTATAATCAAGATAGACCAAGTTGCTTTCCAGGTGAGCCCTCTCCATACCAACTCCATCAAGCGTTCAAATGTTGCGCGTGCATTGCATAATCCGAACGGCATATACTTGAACTTGTATAATCCATTACCGGTGGGAGGCAATTTCCTCTTTATCTTCGGGACGAACTGTCACCTTCCAATATCCGCCTTTCTGATCTAGTATTGAAAACCATCTGCATTCAGCCAAAACCTTCAGGGCGTCATCTATTCTGGGGAGAGGGTAACTGCCTTTTCTCTTGACATCATTGAGCCTCCTGTAGTCTACACAGAATCTCGTCGATCCATCTTTCTTAGTCATTAACATAACAAGTGACGACCAGGGGCTCTTTGATTCCTCGAGTACCCCTTCTTCCAATATGCCCTTAACGATGGATGAAGCTTTGTCCTTTGCGAAGGGAAGTCGTCTTGTTGGTTGGGATATGGGCTTGGCATCGCCAGTATCGATCCGATGTTGAACTAAAATCGTTCTACCAATGATTTTGCCCTTCACAAACATATCGTTTCCTTCCTCTACAAATAGGGTGACTTTGCATAGTTCTTCTTAAAACAGATGGCTCCACGTATTCTTGAAAGAGGTTGTTGAGCACGCTTTAAATGGACTTCCTTCTTCGATTCTCGCATTTCTCACAATCGGTTCGCAGTTGAATATTACTTGCCCTTTCTTGAGAGTCACCCTGTTATTATTAGGGTTGATTATTCTGATTGTTACCATTTACGAAAATTCCTGCTTCACAGCCGTTGGATGGCTCTATCAATGCTGTACCCAAGCCGCCAGCAATTTCCGTCTAAATGATTTTCTCGGTGTTGGGAGATATTCTGGTATCCTCTAGTATAACCACCTTGATGCTGTCATTAGGCTGAGAGGGCACGTCGAGCAGAATTTCCTCATTTCCGACCTTTAATAGTTTGTTCCGTATGTCCACCACATTTTTCATCTAAAACCATAGTATTCGAGTTTGCCCAACAGAATTCCGTGACTTACACAGTCAAATGCCTTGGATAAGTCACAGAACACTGCTGCTGCTGCCTTTTCTTCATCAATTTCATTGTAAACTTTTGTAAGAAAGGAAGATATAGAGTCATTGATGCAATTTTGCCTTTGGAATCCAAACTGCTAGAAATGGCATTACTCTCAATGGTGCAATTTTGCCTTTGGAATCCAAACTGCTAGCAATGGCATTACTCTCTTCCGAACTAATTTTTCAATTATTTTAGCCAAAGTAGGTATGAGAGATATCGAACGATAATTTGATGGGTGAGCAGGTTTGCTTCCTTTGATCTTCCTATAGGGTATCTATATCCAATAAATTTTTCAGGATTTCAGTTGTTTCGTTTACAGTTATCGTCTCTTTTTGTTTTCAGTGCTTAAAAAAAATCTTTTTCTGTTAACCAGCTGTCGCACCCCTACGAACGACAACCCTCAAAAGTTGAAACTTGTGCGAGCTAAGGATCAACGAGGTCTTACCTTTTAACGTGTGATTTCTAACACGTTAAACAAGTATTCAATCTTATTTTTTATTTCTCTATGTTTGTGTAAACTTTATCAACTCTATTATAAGAAAAGCAGATATATTAATCTTATAAATATATTTTACATAAAGATAGGTAGGTAGGTCTAAAGTGAGTGGGTCTATTCCACCCTCCAACGCAACCCACAAGGGTTTATTGTGGCTCATACCTATTCACACTAGGCCAAATAAACCCAGCTTCTTAACGAAGCCGATTAGTTTGTATGGTGAGTGGTCTTTCAGGTGAGATGGTGAGAGTACGGATCTGTCGAACTCAAAGAACCTGATTCGGCTCCCAGCGGGGCAGGCACAAAGTATATGCTCTGATGTTTCATCATTTTCCAGACAGAGGCGACACACATTGTCTCCCGACAGTCCAAGTCTCTGCATATGATGATTCAAATGACAGTGACCTGTAAGAAGGTTGTGTTAATGGCCATGGTACAATTGCGCACGGCTGGTGTAAACCTCGAAGTAGGAATGGGTCAATTGAGGCTGGGCCTACGGCGGGAAGCGCTCACTGCGCAACCTCTGCTGCAAGCAACAAGTGATGCAATTGAACCCGGTTGTGTTTAATAAACCCTACAAAATACAAATTAGGCAGAACACAGAGTCAGATGCTACAATTGCAACACGGATTTATACAGACGGCTCAAAAACCAAAGAAGGCTCCAGGTCACTAAGCCTAAGGATTAAATGGGGAATGGGAAGAAATACCAGCGAGGTCCAAACAGAACTGGCTGGTATCTCAATCGCCACAAAATAAATAACTGAGTAAGGAATTTCTGGCAAAAACATAACAATCTGCACTGATAGCAGACAAGCACTATTAGCCTTGAACAGACAGCGTGTTACCTCAGGGCTAGTACTAGAGTGCCACCAAGATTTAGCCAAAGCCTCGGTAGATAATAACATTATCCTGAGGTGGGTTAAAGGGCACGACAAGAGTAAAGGTAATCGCATTGTCGACTCTTTAGCCAAGGAAGCGGCTGGACTAAGAATTTTAGGACCCAGTGGCACCCACGGCCTGATGACTTCGACAATTGCGGAACTAGTCAAATGTTACACCCATGCTCAATCCTTAAAGAGATGGGATGAAATCAAAGGATGTAATCTTGCCAGGATCACCTTGGGCGACCATGGGAAGCTGGCGCCGGAGAAATATCTGGCGATGACCAGGAAAAATCTACGCCTTACAGTAGGATTTCTGACTGGCCACTGTCAGCTAAGGAAATCCCTCCATAATATGGGGCTAGTAGACACACCTCTAGGCAGAATGTGTGAACAGGAAGATGAGACTGTCAGGCATGTCCTGTGCAATTGCCCGGAGTTATCGTCATTAAGAGAGTGTGTGTTCGGCGAGTCTTGGCCTACACCTGCAGATATAAAGGAGATGTCTCCCAGCGACCTGTCCACCTTCCTGGAAAGGACAGGATGGACGATGACCTAGGAGGACAACTCCTCGGGAGGATGTACAATGGGTCACATGTGGCCTAAGCGCGTGGGCTTACACTCACCCTCCCTACTCAACAGTAGGGACCAGACCAGAGACAATCTGTTAAGTCTTCCTATCGAGAAGAGTAGTTTTTGGCAGTTTGCTACCAATTTAGACGTTGCTCGGTAGGAGCCAAGAGCTTCCAACGCCGCTTGACTGTCCGAGAATATTTTTATTGACTTGTGTGTGAGGTTAGATTTATCCGCACACAATTCAATAGCGTCAATTTCCGCTTGAAATACAGTCACTTAAGTTCCTAGGCAGGTAGATAACTCTGTCCTGGGTCTGCGACTGAAAACACCTGCACCAGAACCGGAAAATGTTTTTGATCCATCTGTGAACCAACAACTATCTGCTCTTAATATTTCCTTCTCCCGGAGGTTCCAGTCCTCTCTACTCGGGAATAGTATTTTATAAGGCAGTTCGTAGTTGACAGTTGGAGGCATAAAGTCAAAAGTCATTTCTAGAATGCTGTGACTTCCAATGTCAACCAACAGTCTGTTGCACTCTGCAGTGAATTGATTTGTGCAATTGGCAATGTGCACAAGTCTGTATGCAGCCCATCTAGCCTCTCTCTCCAAAAAAATGTGGAGAGGAGGTAGATCTAGAAGGATGTCCATGACCGCCAACGGTGTGGTACTGGCACCACTGATAGCCAGACAAGCCTGTCTCTGTAAGGTAGAGTGCTTCGCCTGGGCCATTTTCTGTAAAGCCCTTAGCTACCAGGTAATTGCACCATAAGTGATCTGACAATCATCACATAAATCTAATGGATTTGTTTGGGACCTAAACCCCAAGTTTTACCACAAATCCTTCGACATGTCCATAGAGACAGTCTGACTTTGTGTAAAACTTTTTCCAAATGAGTCTTTTATCAAGGACGATGCCAAGATATTGCACCTCCGTTCCAAATGGAATGATCACACCATTGAGGGAAAGTGGAGTTAGATCGTCCAATTTTCTTCTCTTGGTGAAGGGGATTAACACAGTTTTGCTGGGGTTGACAGACGTCTGCTCCCTCAGGCACCAACTGTGAACAACGTCCAACGCGCTTTGGAGGATATTACAAGCTAGCCTTTCCGACGTGGACCTTGCCAGGATGACAAGGTCATCTGCATAAGCTTGCAGATCAAATTTTCTCCTGTCGAGTGCATCAAGCAGACTATTCACCAGGAGCGACCACAGAAGGGGAGATAGTACCCCACCTTGAGGGCAGCCCCTGGTGACCCTGAACCTGATAGCCTCGCCTTGAAGAGTCGTACTTGCAGTTATGTTTCCTAGCATGGCATAGATCCAGCCAGTTATGGTCGATTATACAACCTTCATAGCCAGAGACAATCCTATAGATTTAGGTAGTGCATTGTCAAATGCTCCTTCAATATCAAGAAATAGAGCAACCGCATCAACCCAAAGATATATCAATTCACAATCGAACTTTAAGAATAAACAACTAAATGAATAACAATGAACTCCCTGGCTTGCTTGAGTTGATTGACTAATTCTCTTCCAATCTTTCGGGCCCCGCGTTTTTTTCGAGTACTGCGTTTTTTTTTTTTCACCCATCTTGGTTTCTTACACCATATTTTACTTCTTCAATTTTTAGTGATAATCTAACCTCAACTGCCTCTATTATTGCTTTTAGCTCATATGATGGAATTGGCCTATACTTGATGAAAATCCATAACTAACGTATTCAAAAAACACTTTATTATTTCAACTTGCTTCCTCACAATATCAAATGTTCGTCCGTAATAATCTTTAAAAAAGAACTGAGAAAGATTATGAACATAGGTTGCTTCTTCAATATACAAGAATTTGAAAATTATTTAAAAACTATAAATAGTAGTACATAACCAATAAGTAAACCTTGTTCGCATAATTAGTAGGTATAATTGTTTAACTGCACTCTAGTTTTGTGTAAGGTCAGTTGGTATATTGTAATGTTATCGTGTATACAGTGTATTAGTATATACATGGATTTTATCTCCAGTATACTAAGTTTGTATCTGTTGTATGCTATTAAATTGTACACAATTCATATTTTATGTAATTTCCATAAGCTTACCTTGGTTTATATCCTTGTTGACATTCACAATCTATGGAAGATGTGTTTAGTATACAGCGTGACTCACGGTCGATGGTATGTAATTTCCATAAGCTTACCTTGGTTTATATCCTTGTTGACATTCACAATCTATGGAAGATGTGTTTTAGATGTGTTTAGTAATATACCTTATACATTTTACATTTTATTTTATGTATTTCTGACTTACCTAATCCATGTAATGGTGGCAATGAAGGAGAAAATAAATATCTATCTATCTATCTTCATTGTGAGATTTTCACCAAACAGTTTTACAAAAACGCCATACAATGGCTTCTTCGGGCTTGTCTTTACTCCAACACGCTGTATGGCAAAACACGTGTTGCGCCTTCGTCAAACTGTTTAGTGAAAATCTCACAATTAAGTGTATTTTAAATAAGTTAGGATATCAATGGTTCTATTGGCAAAATCGATGTAAGTCCAGTGAAATTTCAATAAACACAATGAAGTTTTGGTAAATCTAGTGGTAAAATGGATTTAGTGATAAAATCGATATGAATCCAGTGAAATTAAGTAAATATATTGATTTTTTTTTGGGTAAATCTAGTAACAAAATAAACAGGATTTCAATGAATCTAGTGGCATTGGGAAAATCTAGTGACTTCTGAGGAAATCTAGTAATTTTCGTGGGCCCTAGAACCCCCATAGCATACCTGCTGATAGCCAATTTTGTTTTATATTAATATGTTAGCGTGAAATTACTGCATCTCATTTAAGATCTCCCATTCAATTCCTCAATTTCAAGGATAATGCTAGTTCAATGAAACCCAAAATCATTCTCTTCAAAATTCGACTTTATTCATTTCAGTTCCATCTCTAGTTATATCAGTCAGTTTCCTGGTCAACCAAAATCAATATTATAGGTTAGAAAGTATGAGACATCAAGTACAAGAAAACCAACAAAGAACTTCTTTCAATAAGTTATTTAGCAAAATTTATAAATTTTCAATAAAAAAATTTATTATAACACCATATCTAGCACCCAAAAATATTTTGACAAAATGTACTAATTTGTATACAGAATTTTTGTGACGCAGGTTATTCCATTTCAATTGAAGTGTAATTTCAAAAAAAAATATTACCCTGCTTATTTCAAATGTCCCTCGATATCTCTCAGCTTATCACAGTTGAAATCGAAATAATTTTGTGCCTAACTGAAGAAACTTGATTATTAATACACATTATTACACTTCTCCAAAATTGGTATGCCCAGTACTGTGAGCGTGTTCTTGTGCCGCTACCTGTCCCCTCAACAGAATGTTACACACCATACACTTCAACGTAAATTTGTCCACATCTGTGAATTGTCTGCTTGATTTTGCTTCTAGAGCAAGTTGTTCAGCTGATCTCAACAGTCGATCATCATCACTGGGAAAAATTGTTAGACTTTTATTTCCCTAAAATAAAAATGATGCCATGATTAGGAAAACAGAGTAAAGAAAATGTTGGTGGTATGAAGCTTTAAAAACATCACAATTAATTTAGATGGTTATGATCTACTCAAAATACCAAAAATTTTAAATTCGTATTATTTCCTACTTCAAAAAATATCTGGTTTGGCAATATTAGCTGTAGAGCAAGATATCCTAGATAAAATCGAATTTGAAGAGTTGAATTCTTAACTGAATAGAATATCCTGAATAGATGTAAAACAAAATCAATGTTATTAGGCGATATAAATGTTGACCTGCTCAAAAGTACCTCCTCAGAGTTTGATACCTATGTACCACTTGATGGATTTAAGATTAGTAATGTGAGTGAAGAGAATTATGCAACACGATCAACATCAAATTCCAAATCTATCCTAGATCACCTGTTAACAAACAAAAACATAGACTGTCACATAACAATCTCTAACCATATAACTAATCATAAAATCTTATATATACAACTTAAAACTAACGCCAAATATCCACAGACTAATAGAAAGATATCACACAAACCTTCTGTACTCAATCAAAATAACTTCAAACAAAAATTCCAACAGCTGATAAACATCCACGATATAAATAGTTTTGAAAAACTATCGAACAGCCATACAGGTTTGTAAAAAAGAATCAACAACACAATATGAAATAAAATATAAGGAAGGTAAGGATTGGATTACAAGGGAATTTCTAGAATTAATAAAAAACGTGATAAATTATATTCAGAAAAAATAGAACATCTTAATCAGGATATACTCAGGGATTTCCGAATACAGAAAAATATTGTAGAGAAAAAACGCAAAAAACTGAAACAGGATACTTTGAAAAGAAATGGAGCAATACATGCAATAACCAGAAAAGGCAATGAAAACTCATCAATAATCTTATTAAAGGCAATAACCAAAGTAATCAGATAACTAATTTGGAAATTGAGTGACAAATTCTTGATAATCCCAAAAATATAGCTGAAAAAATTAACAAATATTTCGTTGATATTGGTAAATCAATAATGAATAGTGTAAACCTGCAAACAGCGTCATCTACTGAGTTGGAGGAAATCACAAGTGATTGTTCAATGTACCTATACAATACAAACTCCCAAGAAGTTCAGGAAGAATTATATAAGTTGAATAAAAATGCAGCACCTGGTTATGATAACATAAATACTAACGATCTCCTAACACTCAAGGATTATATTATACCTATTTTAGTCAAATTAATAAATGAATCTTTCAAACAAGGCATATTCCCAGATATTCTCAAAGTCAGCAGGGTAACACCTACAAACAAGTCAGGACCAAATAACATTATTGATAACTATAGACCTATTTCAGTAGTTCCGACTCTGTCAAAAGTAATAGAAGTTATTTTAAAGAAACGTATTATCAATTACATGAAAAAATGTGTTGCCTTTGACAATTACCAATACGAATTCCAAGAATATAGTAGCACCCTGACTGCAACTATAGACTTCATTAACCACATTGCTTCTTCACTGGATGATAAATACTACACTATTGCTGTATTTGTTGATCTACGAAGAGCATTTGATGTTGTTGATTTCTCTATATTACTTGAAAAAATTGAAGAAATGGGAATAAGAGAAAATGCTCTCTCTTTATTAAAAACATACCTTCTAGATCGCAAACAATTCACAATGGTTGATGGCATTTCGAGCCAAACTGAAACTACCAAATCACGTGTGCCCCAAGGCTCAGTCCTTGGACCCCTACTCTATACATTACATGTTCTGTCATTGAAAACTGCTAACATTATAGGTAGATACTTTAAATTCGCAGGTGATACTGTTCTTGTATATAAGGGTAAACACTTGAAACAACTCGAAACACTAGTAAATACCGACCTTGAAAGGTATCACAGATGGCTTGCAAAAATAAACTTCAGATCAATGTGAAGAAGACTACTTTTATAATCTTCTCTTAGAAAAACATGAAACAACAGGACATCATTGTGGAAGATAGGAGACAAAGAAATATCAAGAGTCCATAATACCAAATATCTGGGACTAATAATCGATGAAAACCTATGCGGGAATAACCATATCACCCATGTAGAAAAAAAAGTAATTCCAATGGTTAGTGTCCTATATCGTTGTAGAATCTACTTACGTCCAAATATACAGTGCATATTTCTTATCAATTTTTAGCTATTTAATTCCTATATGGGGTACATGTGGACAGACATTCAAAAAAGTAAAAATACTTCAAAACAAAACCGTGAATATGTTATTCAGGCTTGACTACACAACTTCACCTGATACTTTATACAGTGTAACCAAGATACTGCCTATTCAGGATGTTCTAGAAATCGAGCAAGGTAAATTTGCATACAAGGTTATACATGAACAAGTAAAATGTAATACCAACTTCACTTTCGTTAATCAGCTCCACAAATACAATACTCGTACCCTATAATGTCTCTTTAGAACCTGTACGTATATGTACTAATATTTGCTTAAATAATCCCCTTACACTATGCATGAAAACTTATAATAATTCTCTTCCCAAGGAAATAACAGATATCCCTAATTTTAGTATCTTCAAGAGATTGCATTATCTGAATAAAGTTCTTAAAAAAACTGTCTATAGTAATTGAATGTTTTTTGTTTGGTTTGATTTTTCTTTGTGACTGATCCCAAAAGGAATAACATTTTTGTTCTTTGAATCGCAAATTAAGGGATGTCTTCGGGAAAACATCTCTTTGTTCTGTGAAAATTGATGTTTCGTCAACGACTCAGTTGGCATTCTCAAGATATGTTGATTTGTCCATATGAGCGTAACTGGTGTTCAGATAAGTCTGAAGATATTTTTATGTTGTTTATTGCGTAGAACCTACGCCGTAGGTTATATCAACGAACTCATCTTTCTTTTTTATCCCATCTATTGAAGTATGGCCCCTTAACTGATAGTCATTGTTCTTTCTCACCAATGATTTTTGTACTAGAAATATTAATTGAATCATGTTTTTTATTTTCAATGGCTTCTTCAAGTAACACTTTGTGAGATTTTCACTGGACAGTTTACAAAACTGCAACACGTGTTTCGTTATACAATAGCTTCCTCAAGAGTTATCATACTAACCAAATTCTACTTCATTTGTGCTTCATGTAATAAAAATTTGAATCATATGTAATAAACTAACTACCAAACAGATTTTGAAGAAGAGAAGAATTCAATTCTATTTGGTCATTCAGTAAATTTTAAGAATTCTTAAATCTATTATTTTGTAAGCACTCCAAAAGATGGAGTTCCAAAATTTTTCTTCCAAATGTAATACTTCATAGTGTTGATTGAACTCACACCCTTTCTCAAGACATGGTTTGCAAATGTGGAATTTGTCTTCACATTCAAGAAACTACTCCAGTTTTTTATTCTTTAGGAAAAGGTTCTTCCTTTTCTTTATTGTTTTCAATGAATTTGCAAATTATTATTTGTCCGGTAAGCCACGTCCAAGTCTGTCCTTTTTGGTGAGTTCACCAAAGTCTGTCAATGTTCTATAATGCATAGTATTTTTTAATTTCTGGTTTTTTTTGCTTCGATCTACAGGCATACAAACCTGTGGACTACGGAAAATTGCTTTCACACAGTTACCTTATAACTGTTGTTGATAGGTTAGGTCCAAAGTGAGTGGATCTATTGGACTGTCCGAGAATATTTTCATTGGTTGGTTTCTTCCAATATATCCGCACACAATTCAATAGCGTAAATTTCTACTTGAAATACAGTTGCATAGGTTCTTAGGCAAGTTGATATCTCTGATCAGGGTCTGCGACTAAAAACATCTGCACCAGAACCGGAAGGTGTTTTTGGACCAACAACTATCTGCTTGATAGCGATTTGTTCGATAAATCTCAGTTCTTTCTGAAAATCACTTTCTGTCAGTGGTGACCTCAACAGCCTGTGAAGCATAATATTGAAACAATTCATCTTCAAGATATGCAATTTTCTCGTTCAACAATGCAATTACACAGTTCTTGTCACTTATGATAATGTTTTTATCATGTATAATTTGCCTAAGCAGCTTATTTTCCATTTTTTCGAAAGTATCGTCGGTTTCCAGGTCATCACATGACTGCGGAAGTTTTTTATTGTCACAGCAAATTATTTTTGAATTTATTCTTTGACCACATGATGGAAGGTAGTTCGATTCACAGTTTATACACTTAACACCACTACGACTTTTTTACAATATTTGCCTCCGAGTCAATCAGTGCCATCAGTATTTTATTTTCTGATGGATTCGGCCTTTACTTGATGAAGATCCATAGTAATTTCAAAAACTACACCTTAACGATTTGATCTCCAGAAACTTTATTTGAAAAATATATCACTTTCATATATCACTACAAATCACTTGAAAAAGCTAATGTCTTAGCGAAACATGTTGTGATATATTTTTCAAATAAAGTTTGTGGAGATCAAATCGTTGAGGTGTAGTTTTTGAAATCAGTATTTTATATTATGCAGTAACTTTTCGGAATGAATTTTTCAGTTTGTGGAAGATTAAATACCTACCCAAGAAATAGCAATTGTATCAGACATACGTCCAACTAATTATCTCGATTCTTGTAAAACACTATTCAAAGAACTTGAAATATTAATTGTAATATATATTCTAGAAACTGTTGCAAAAATAAAAAACAAATCAGTGGATTTGTGTTTCACCGATTATACTATTTCACTAGACAAAACAATAATTTTGAACTTCCTAGACTTACTTTCGCTCTATTTAAACTTTGTTTCCTTTGTAATTGATGTAAAAAAAAGTTCAAACATTTACCTGATTAAATCAAAGATACTGATTTCATGAAGGCAGTTAAAACTATTAATTGAGCCTCACTACCTTCATGAAAATATTTAAATGACTGCATAATTTAGTTGCACTGTTTAAAATTTTATTATTCTAATAATTTTGCTTATGTTTCAACCTTCCAATTTGCATTTCAGATATATTAACTTCTGAAATTTGATTCATATTTCACACCATTGTATTTATGTTTTGTAACTTATTAATTGAGATTTTTTTTCGTGTTTTCAAACCTTTTGTTTTTTTTATTTTGTTGTAGACCACAATGAATATGTGTTCCCTTTCACAGTTTCATGACGAAAGTATGTGTTTTCAATATGCATTTGGGTTATTAAAAATTGTTTCTATTGTGTAAATGTCAAATAAGTTTGTTGAACACAAAAAACTCACATCCAATGATTCCAAATAAAGGGGATCATAGTGAATACCATCAAACATCAAAAAAACTCTGTGTGGAAAATTCTGATCTTCTCCAAACTTATTAATGATAGTATTGATTGTATCAATTACAGCTATTTCAATACCGTAATGATTTGATAATATTGATAATTCTATTGCACCGCCCCAAGACTTATCATCTTTGATCCAAGCACAATATTCATCTATAGGTTTTCCAAGTATTGCCTCATCATATTGATGACAGTCTGTTTTGATGGTTTCTGCTACCAACTCTCTCATATATGGTGCAGCGGTTCCAGTTTCATCCATTTTACCATTCAATACAAAATATATACTACTGAATAAACACGAATTATCCGCAGGCACTGTAAATTTCATCAGTATTCCAGGGCAGTCAGTAGATATTTCACTATGGAATTTGGCACTGTCAAGTGAAGAATTTGTAGACTCATTCGAATTATAGGTATTGTTTACAGGAACTTGGTTTTCCTCAAGAATAAGGGTATCTCCTGACTTGACTCCACATTTTTCAAGTTTTAAATGATCTTGAGTTACATCCAAAGTTTTAGGGGGAAATCCAGTAAGAATGTGGAGTCTGTTTATTGGAATACTTGATAAACCAGAGAGAGTTTTTTTCAGATCTATTAGGGTACTTTCGTTCGTCAAAGTATTCACAACTTGCTGGCCATTTTTCATTTTGATTCTTAAAGCAAACGTCATTATCAAATCACTTTGGATGTATTCAAATATACTTAATAAGGATACCTCAAAATTTGAGTACTGTTAAATGAGTGAAATTATAATATAGACTGGCCATTGAAAAGAGAACATTGACTTCAACAACTAAAAAAGATGAAGAGATTCTAGTTTTGACATATGTCACTCATACACTTAACGTCAAATACAACCATAGTATAATTATACTATGAATGTAGCAAACGGACTCAGCTACTTAAACATAACGATGTTTAGTCTCTTCTATGACATTTTGAATTCTCAGAAAATAAATCTGGTTTATTACTTAGACACTCTTAGGTATCTCGTGATATTTATTTTTATAAGGGTTGCAGCGGGTAATATATTTTCGACCCTTATGAATAGGGAGTTTGATTGTATATGAAGTTCTTAAAACATAGACACAGTTAATTTTAATGATTTTTCTGTTAAATGGCTTCTGTCTAGTTGATTTTGAGATTATTACTGAAAGCTGATAAAGGTTCCCTTCTTCTAAGAAAATACATGTGTTTTGGTATTTAATATCTGACGAAAAATAATACACCTAACTTATACTTTATAACGCCTGTACGCGTGCGCGCGCGCGTGTTTGCGTGTGTGTGTGACACGCCATAAAGACCCCAGCTTTGAATAAAATTGTTCAAGTGTATTTCTCTAATTGGTTTTTTCCCTTTTTTGTATTATCGTCTCCACATATTGAAAAACCTATCATGATTTTTCCGTAGACGGTCACCACGCTACAAATAACCTACCGTTTCTCAAGTCTTAGTGAGTAGTCACGATAGCTAATCGCCCTCCTTATGGCTTATATATGCTGCTGATCGGGTATATTCTTAAAAAAAAATACGACTTTTGAGTTGAGATCTATGACTTCGCTCTCCAACATGTTGGCGACTCTGTTTCAGGTTGGTTATTTTGATGATCTAGCGAGTTGACGTTGACAATTGATGATGTGTCAGTCGATAATGTTGAAGTGAGTTGTGAACGTGTTGAACTCAAAAATTAAAAGTAAAAATGAAGAGAATATCATTGTTTTTAGTCTTTTGGGCTTTTGCGAATGCTTCAGAAAAAATTAAAAGTCAGCTTGTTAATAAAAATGTCGAACGATCCATTGATTTAACATCACAATTGGTGAAAATCAGTACCACTATAACCCTGGAGAATACCGGCAAAGATCCTATCCGGAGCTTTTTGATCGCAGAAGAACCAAGAAATCTTGGTAATGTTTCATTTCGTAGTGTGAAGGATTCTTCTAAAAATGATTTGAAGTTTACACCATCAGATGTAGACAATCATGAGGATAAGAAATTTTATAATGTCATTCTCAAACAATCAATAGAACCTGGACGTTCAGTTAGTGTTGTAATGGAAGAAGTGCTGATGAAGAGTTTGGAACCTTATCCTAACAGTATTACTCAAAAAGAAAAACAGTTGGTTCGCTATTTTGGTAATCACTATTTCTACTCTCCATATTTTACAACAAAACAGAAAACTGATGTCACCCTCAGCTCTAGAGGGGTTGAGAATTACACAAAACTCAAACCAGTTTCATTATCCGATTCTACAATATCTTACGGACCTTATTCCAGCATACAACCTTTCACAGATGATGAAATGGTTATACATTATGAAAGTAATGCCCCCTTTTTGACAGTCACAAGGTTGGAAAGGTTCATCGAGGTATCACACTGGGGAAATATAGCAGTAGAAGAACATATTGAAATTAGGCATACAGGAGCGAAACTGAAAGGTCCATTTTCAAGATATGATTATCAAAGAGATACAAGTTCCGTACATCACAGTATAAAAGCTTACCGTACCATCCTACCTGCCTCTGCCCATAGTATTTACTACAGAGACAGTAATGGAAATATATCTACATCGTCAGTGAGACCAAGAAAAGAGTGGATCGAACTTGAATTGAGGCCTAGGTTTCCTCTCTTTGGAGGTTGGCAGAGTTCTTACATTCTTGGATACAGTGTACCAAGCTATCAGTACCTGTTCAAATCGGACAAGGGAGACAATATATTAAACATGAGAATAATAGACCATGTTTTTGATGATATGTTTGTTGAAGAACTTGTAACTTCTGTGGTTTTACCAGTTGGTGTCTCCGACATTAGAGTTAAAACTCCATATGAAGTTGAACGTCTACCCGATGAAGTCACACACAAATATCTGGACAATATCGGCCGCACAGTCATCAAGTTGAGGAAGACTAACCTAGTAGAGCAACACATCCAAGATCTGGAGATATCCTACACCTGGAAACCACATCTTCTTCTGCATGAACCTGTTCTGCTATCTATTGCACTGTTCCTATTATTTGTTATTGTTATAGTTTGGGTTAGATTAGATTTTTCATTAGGAGTCCATGACCAAAGTAAAAGAGAGTGAAGTTTTTGTGAATAAGTATAATTTCCTTGTTTGAAATGATTTTTCAATAAAGTTTTTGATAACTCTTTATACTTAATCGAAAATGTAACGTTTAATTAGTTATTCTGAGTGTAACCAGCAGAAGTAAAGTATTATGCAGTTTCAATAGAGCAAAAGTTTAGCCAATCGACCGATGTTCAAACACAAGGTATCAAAACGGGAGTTACATTTCTAGGGATTACCCTTAACCATAAATTGTGCTGCTAAAGTCATATTAATTTCTTAACTTTCAAGTGTTTTGTTCACACTGAAAAGACTGAAACATATTTTATTTCCTGTTCTGTTTGGTTTTCCAGTTTGAGAAAACTAGTCTAATTTAATAGCTTACCAAAAAGAGATTCTGAAAACCTAATATGAACCATACAACCATTTTTTGATTATGAAAAACGGCGTTTTTTGTTCATTTGATTTTCTTTTTCGAAATCCTAAATAATCACATTTTTAAAGTCTAAACTACCATATTTTTCCAAAAAAAAACACAGTTTTTTTTCTTAAATTTGTCGTCATCGAACCTAGCCCAACAAGTCACCAACCTAACCTTGTCCAACTCAATGTCTAAGTCAATCCACCGCAAATGATCTAACCCAACAAATCATCTCAACCTCCAAGACCACCCCAAATTGGCCTAACCCAAGTCACCCCACCCTGGTCTACCCCAAAACCCACCCCAATCCGAGGAGTGAAAAATTTTGGAATCCGGAAAAACAGTTTTTTCGACTGATTGGATCCTCAGGAATCGTTTGCAATACTACGATTCGGATTTTAAATCGCAGCAATTCGACATTTCACCAGGAGTTTATGTTGAAAATGGAGAACTTGATCAAAAAGCGGTTATCGCTATCATATTTTACGCCTCTTAAATAGCCTAATGCAACACATACACACATATATTGGGCCACTTTTTTAATGGGACTTTATTGGTAATATTTAAACCATAAGAGTTAGAAGGTCAGTCAAATGGACAAAAAGTTGCATTCATAGAAACACTGTCAAGTGGTTCAAACAAATCGAGAATATCAGGGCCGGTTATTGAGATATAAAATTAAATTTCGTAATTTTGATTTTTCTTTTTTCACCACGTTATTTCAAATATTTGACTTATCCAGATTTCAAATCCAACGTCTCGTACTCTCTGGAGTACCATCAACCTCATTTTTTTCAATACAGACCTGCATATTTTATGACATTTTTTGAAATAACTTTTCACGATAAATAATACAATGTCATTCCAAATTTCTTTGGTTCGGATCCGTATTAAATTTACCTTTGGTGAAATCAACAACATGCAATACATGTCGATGAGAAAATAATAGTTATTCATTATACAAGGGAAAAAAGTATTAGATTTTAGCTCGAGGTTGTGTTGTCTCCCGACGCGAAGCGTGTAAACACAAGATCTATCAACTGAAACCACAAATGTGCGGTTGGCTCCTGCTGGTGGCTCCGTGCATTTGTATAAGGTATCACAGATGNAGAAAAGTATCTTCTGTATAATTCAGTGTTCATATAGAAGTATTTGTTTCGAAAGAATTTTTTTCTTTCGTGTAATTCAATGTTTATATGAAAGTAGCTGTTTCAGGAGGACTTTCTTTCAGTTTGTGTCTGAAAGTTACTTCTTTGCATGATCTACACATCCATGTATGGAGTTACTTATTTTCAAATTGATTACTTTCCTTCCTTTCTTTGGAAGATTCTCTCATCCATTTTTTTGTATCAGATGGAGTAGTAGAAAGCCAAAAACTTTCTTTTCCCAATAAGCACAATATTATTTAAGTGTTGTTTCCTTTTATTTGTATTGAATATTCCTATACATGGTGGAAGGACAAGGACCTTGGTCCAAAGTAGAATAATTCCCATTATTATTTTTATAATTACCAAAATTTATTTTTGTTTATGCATACCCTAACGGGCATATAAGCATTCAGCCAATTTTTGGATAGCTAAATAAGAGAATTAATATATTATAGTAGTAACTAATCCCTTGGCTTTCATTTTTTCGAAAGTTGGTAAATTTTGCTGGTGGGGTTGGGAAAATTTGGTTTTCTTCCCCCCCCTGGTTTTTTTTCACTACGGCCCTGATCGAAACTATCATTTATTTAAATATTACTGGAGTTCTTTCCTAACACCAAACCGTTATTTTAACACCTCGACATGTGTTTTGATCAAGAGGAAGATCTTCCTCTTGAAGATGATCACTTGGTGATTGAAGCATGTATCGAAGGGTGTTAAAATAACGGTTTGGTATTGGGAAAAACTCCAGTAATATTCATTACTACACCAACGGTTCCAAACAGTGCATCTAAAGTATCATTTATTGGAAAAAAATTTATGATTTTCCGAAAGTAAATGAAAATTAGTGAAGTAAGTGTTCGAAATTCACAACATTTTAAAATGCACTCTGCGGTTCTGGAACTCAAACTTGTTATACTTACATTTGCTTATTTCATCTCCTTGAATACTTTCCAATGCATTATTTATCAATCTTCTCGCGAGTAATCATTATTATCGAATTTGTCATTTGTTCCGTTGAAACAAATTACATAATTGAAATGTTTTTTCAAGATCAACACGATATGGTTTTTGCAAGGTTCGGAGTTTAAATCTGGCCACAGTTCTCAATCTTTGTTCTGGATTCAGTTGAATTTGGGTCAGATCATTAGGTAATATCGTTGAAAGCCTTGTTTTTTTTTTGTGAATACAGTGTGTAAAAGCCAAATGAAATGAATTCATTATTTCAGTTACTGTACATATTTTTAAAATTCCCGAAACACGTCAAATGACATTCTTCAACGTAAAAATGCCACCCCTACCTTCAACCCCCTTCGAGTGACAGGTACAACCCCCAATTTTTTAAATGGAAAGTATAGGTTTGAGGTTTATTGCAACAATTGAGATGAAATAAATTAAAATCATGTGGTTACCGAAATTCGATAAAATATATTCAAAAACTAAAATGTAATGCAAAACGTAATGAAATGTAGAATACGAAAAAGAACTATGGATGTTAACGAGGTAGATGTTCAAAATGTTCACCGCGAACGTCTTGGCAACATCCAAATAAAACTGTCTTCTAACATTATTTAACATATTAGCATTGTATATCATATATATAAAAATGGATGTTTGTTGGTTGGTTGGTTGGTAAGTGATAAACTTCTACATCGCTCAACCGATCGTGATGAAACTTGACATGTATTAGTAATTTTTTATAGAGAAGGTTTTTAGGCTATCAATTTTTCTGTAACTCGCCACTAGATGGCGCTGTAGAACAATTTTTGAAAGCACTGTTCCATAACGCTGCGCACGCTTAAGTTCGTTGATTCTGATTCTGTCAAAACACTGGAACAGCAGCGATACAGCAACATAGTAGAGATGGTACTAAATAGTCAAATTTGAAGAACTTGTTCGAACTGTTCCAGGTCTTATCGAAAACCTGTTCTTTTTAAGTGTTCATGTTCACCTATTCTTGAATGACGTCTCAGCTTGCGTCACGGTCACTTTTTAGCGTTCGGTTCCGAGTGGTACCGAATTTCCGTACGTTCCCTCCATTCGTCTTGTTGTTCTGAAGTTTTATTTCAGTAACAGGCTGAATTTTAGTGTAAAATAAATAAAAAATCAAGCCCTACTTGGATTTATTTTTTAAACACAGAGAAACAACTGCAACTAGCAGCATGTGAAATTTGCAAGCAGGTTATTTTCTTAAAATTATCCATGACAAATTTAAAGCGTCATATGCTTAAAAAACACACTACCGTAAAATTTCTACCCACTGAAGGAACAGTGAAAACCCACGTTGAGGAGAATTCACAGGCACAGAGACCTACCTACTTACAGGTAGGTATTTAATTAATTCGTTTTGCATTTTTTCTGTTAAAAATTTCATGGAAAATTATTCCATCCAGGTTCCAGCACCAACCTACGCAAGCGTCTTTGGAATAGCCACTCACCGTCTGAACAAGTTCAGTTCATTGAATAGAACAGGTTCCCTGAACAGTTGACTGATACCTGTTCCGAAAAACCAGTTCGGTTTTTTTGAGCCCATCTCTACAACATAGTACTAATTAGTACTACAACTACCAAATTCTACGCGGGCGAAGCCGCGGGCAATAACTAGTAGTCTATATACAAAGATATTAGGCGTAACCGACCTAATCGCAAGCGTTATTTGTTCTTTTGAATCATTCAAATCTGAAAGTTTAGTTTTGTACAAATTGCTCTTTACATATTCCCATAAAAAGAAATCTAATAATGAAAGATCAGGTGATCGCGCTGGTCATTCAATCGATCCTCGCCTCCCTATCCACCGATTGGGAAATATATCGAGGTATTGCCGGACAATAACTTGGTAATGTGGTGGTGCTCCATCCTGCCGAAACCATATCGTATTCACTGGAACTTGAGGGTTTCCCGGATCAGGATATAGGTACATTTGCTAAACTTGGAATGACATCCTTTTGAAGTAGTGTCAAATAATTATCGCCATTCAAGTTGCCCTCAATGAAAAAGGGACCAACGATATGGTTTCCTACAATCCCTGCCCAAAAATTAACCTTTTGAGGGTATTGCGTGTATTCTCTCATCCAGTGAGTAATTTCCGTTAACCAATAGTGGCAATTTTGCCGATTAGCATGATCGTTAAGAGACAAAGTACACTCATCAGAAAACATGACGTCTTCTAATTGGATTATATCGTTATCCAACATATGTCCACCATTTGCTCACAAAAATATGTTCTATCAAAATCGTCTTCCATGAGTTCCAGAGTAGGTATCATTTTATAGGGATGCATTTTATTTTCTTGTAATATGTTTACTATCGATGTATATGGTTAACATTTAATGTAGTGGATGTCTGTCTACTCGATGTATGTGGGTTTTTCCCAAACTCAAGCATCACATCTAAGATGAGTTCATCACTCATTGCATTGGCAGCTGTTTTTTTTTAATCTGTCCCACATGGCCAAGCTCGCGAAACTGCTTCTCTATTTTAATTATTGTTCCTTGAGATATGGGCGGTAAATTAGGAAATTTCCCATGAAATAGGC